GCCGCGACCAACTCGTTTGGGCTGGGTTGCCGAAGGTTGAAGATTGGCCATCGCGAACAGAGGGTACGGACACCGCTTCAATGCATGGAATGAACCAGAGCACAAGCACACCAACAATCGATGTCATGATTTTCGCCAAACGATAAAATGTGTGCTAATCAGAATAGCGTCAGATGCTGGCAATCTTCCCCTCTCAAGGTGCTCGACCGGGTCGGTGCGTGTGAAAAGTCAACTGGGCTCAGAGTCCGCCTTAGCAGGCGGGTACGCACAGAAGAATATAGAGGTAGTTTAGAAAGAAGATGGTGGAGAGGATCATACAGAGAAGTCAAAAGCAAGATGGTAACTGGTGAAGGCTTGTGGAGCAGATTACTTGTCTTGATATAAGGAAGATATTGTCCCAAGATTTTTACATCTATATACATGACGACGGTGTTGGAGCATGAACCTGCCAGTAGATCTGCCTCTTGTATGCCTAGGTGCGATTTCGGAGTACACCGACACGCCGGGGATGGGCATAAGCGTATGGCATCTTCCATTATGTGGCTCGGGTAGCTGCAATGAAAACGCCACCTATTGTAAAGTGGAATCTTCCGTCGTCTGGCTCCGGAAGCTCCAATAGAACCCCATGCTTTGGCAGTGGGAATACGCAAAAGTGTGTGGAATCTTCCGTTGTGTGGCTCGGGTATCTGCAACAAAAACGCCATGTGCTGCGCAGGAGCGGACATGCGCAGCTGAACTCTAGCCTTACCTAAGTAGCCTTACGTCTAGGCCAACGCAGACGAGGCTGGGCTATCCCTCGCGAGCCTTACATTCTGTCACCTTTCAGCGCATAAGTCTTTGGCATCGCAGCTGCTTCAATCACATTTTACCAGCTCGTGCTTATCGGAATAACCCGCCCGCACATACGAAACCTGCAGCTAAAGAAGGAGACGAAGTCGTTGGCTAGCATTCTGGTATGGCAAACCGTTCTCTATCGCAAAGCCGATCTCAGGAAGCTCGAGTTTGTGGATCGTCTAAAAACCCCGCACTGCCGCGAACTGTTTGCAACAGAAACGTCGCCCTCTACGTTGACCCATCGCACGAAATCATTCGAAAACACCGACCATATTACACTCACCCAGTCAAACCCAACAAGAACTCGTCCAACACTTTTGCGTCGCTCTACACGTCGTCTCCTTAATTGTATCATAACAATAAGACTCAGAAGCCTCTCTGTATATTCGAAAGCTCATTGTACTCGTGTTGCAGCTGCGGATACACCTTTCGACAATCTCTCCTATTCCAACCCTTGATATCGAACGGCTGGTACATGGGCGACAGCAATCTGAAAGTTGCAGTACCTGGTCGTACTCAGCATCTATGTTCTACCTTATTATAGAAAAAAGCCACATGCAACATCGCTGTGGATGTATTCGGAACGACTTGAGAGGTGTACACCGCCATGAGCGTATCCTGGATAACGGCACCAGAAATTTAGCTAGACTGATAGTGAGAGTGATGAGGGCGATAACATTTCGATAAGAGTAAGATTATCATGTTTCGACCAGCTTTGTTGTTGCATGCCTGAGGCGAAAAGACTTTGTGAAGGCTCGTTACGTGGTAGAGTAATTAGAGTCGCGAATGCGCTTGCAGAACTCGAGATGGCGAAGAATAGGAGAGCGGAACCTCTGGGAATAAAAGAGACCAATGGGCCTTTTTGAATGGGGATGTCAGGCTGAGGGGTGGTTGCTGAATGTGACGTCTTGAACAATAGTTGTTGTAAGTAGTAACACTTCGCCCTCGGTAGACAGTGGATCCAGAAAGAACGAATCAGGAACTAGACTCCGGTTGAAATAATGATTGGCTTCAGAGGCTCCTGTCGAGAGAAAAACGACCGGACTTACTTATTCATAACTCGAGAAATGCGAAACGTCCATTTTGCCTCACCTCCAGCTTCAGGCACAACATGACGTTCAAAAGTTCATAAGACGAAGAGTGGTCGACTATCATTGGTAGAAGTTCTGGCGCTGTCAAAGTAATTTCCTTCGCTAGCTATGTCGTGACGGCGTGAGTGCGTTGGCTAACAAGGATTTTCAGCCTGGAATCTGATCAAATCACCCAAGATGCAGCGTTGCGCTTGCCCTCGATAACGATTGGTGCGAGAGGTGCAGATACGCATAGAGTTGCATGTGGGTCAATTTTGACTGCGGATAGTGGAAGCCGGTGTAAACAGCATGGCGTCAGTCGACAGGTGTCACCCGGTCGGAACGTTCCGTAAACACATTCCGAGGGGTAGCACAAGTCCGAATCTCCACGGTTCATAGAGGAGACTGGTGGGATTCTGGAGAACGAAGCAAATAAGGTTCTTGGTATATGTACATGCGATGCAGAACCGGTCTTCTCACGTCCTCGTGTAAATCTTACAATGCTTCTTCCTGCTCTCTTCTCAAGGTCCATCGCCCACGTCTCCCTTACCGACATCCACGAAACTAGCAGATTGTATTGTCATGGTCAAGGTCATGGTCTGTTACCCACCACTTCTAGGAACTCGTTGAATCTAACATAATCTTCGTATCGTGCTAGCATCCGTCTTCTAGCTTCGTCTTGCTGCCGTAATCTTCTACGTCGTATCCAGATCGCACAGTCTTAGGTGAACAAGAGGATTAGCTTGAACGAAATGTGAGCAGTCACAACTCACAGTGGAAAGGCTTCCATGACAATTCGCGTAGCTTGGATGAGGCTAACAGAAGACAAACCAATATTCCAATTACTGACACGAAAACGCCGATCAGTGTAAAGATGTCTTGCCGTGACCATTTTGTGTGCGTTGGGTTCAAGTCGGGGGGAGTCTGATGGTTGATAGGTTCTACATTGCGGATAGGTGGGACTGGAGAGGCTTGCGCAAGAGCGATAGAAAAGACAATGGTTGCAGTTAAGAACGACATAATGGATAGGGGATCTTCAAGCGCAGAAGCGACAAAGCGAGCTATCTGTGTAGTATGTCTGATAAGTCCGACAAGAAGATACCTGCGGTGGCCCAGCTTTTAAGATACAAAACGTATTATCTGTTTCTAGCCTAACCTCGCCCTTATGGATCGTCCTTGCTAAGCGATTCTCTGACTTGCGCGGGCCCGGATTAGCGGCCAAATGGTGCTAATTGGCCTGCAAGTTCATGCGTGAAGACGCCGCTAACCGCTTACGGTCTCATCCGTAGCGGGCGGGATGACGAATGTGTTGATTGTTTTTCTCATTAGAATTTCCAGCATGGAAACGTTTATTATACCTAGGTATGCAACACCATGGACGGCCACACTGACTCGATGCGGGGGCATCGTCTTTGGTAAGAAGTGTTCTCACAAAAATTGCTACCGTCCACTAGTTTTGTTACCAAAGAGTTCGATGTTGCGCTTATATCATCGACAAGGCGATGATCGTGGCTCTTCCAGGTCCAACGCTCTTTGCACTTCAACTCAGCCAAAAGCTATGATACATCCAGACTTTACCATTTCGTCTTTTCACGCGCGAATGGCTTCCACAAGTAATCAATGACAACTAACTCAGATTTGCAGGAGTGGGAAACTAGCACTCGAAGACCAGCCTTCGCATCCGCATCAAAAGTCCCCTCGCCTTGCCTTCAGCAGATCGTCGTAGCGGTCTTGCCACTGCTGATGAAGTACTCTGTGGTCTTTTCTCTTCCAACTTTCGATAGTCGAAGGCCGATTTACCTGCGTCATCGTCCTACGATGATCCATTTCTGGATCTAGTCAGCCTTTATAGCTCCTGTCGCTGTGTAAAAGAACGGAGATGCTTACCAGGCTGCAGAGGCTTGCGAATCAATGGATGGGTTTACACAACCACTCCCATGTTTTGGGTAACGCAACAGGAACGCCGACCAATGCGATGACAACGATGTTGCTAGGGGTCACGTGTTGTGGCAGTGTACTCAGGTAGGTTGGCTTGATGTGCCTGTGGACTGGGAGAATATCAACCAACCTCCAGCTTTGATACACCATTGATCGCATCGTTATCTCATTGCGGTAGCTGGGTGTGTCCTCGAGGCTACGATGGAAAGCTGAACGTGGGCTGTGCCCACTGGCAGGCTGATTTTGAGACGACCTATCAAATTGATGTTCACTCTCCAACAGACCCTGGAAAGCCTGGATACGAAGCTCACCGGAAATACCAACGCGTGCAGGAAGTATCCAGAATGACTCAATCACAAAGCACTCAGCTAGAGCACCATCGTAATTCTGTCGTATCTGGTTCTTTACATCGCTCTTACAGCCTCCAACGCGCTAAATATTCCTGCTTCCCGATTTCGGCAATTTTGGATCACTGAGTCCTCATGGTACCTTGGTGTACTCGTGCAAGCAAAAGCCAGAAATGAGATGAATCGGTGAACGGACCCATTGCGCTCAGCCAATCGGCACTGCACGACTTCACCGATCATGGAACCTGAGTGACGCGGGAAACGTGTCCGCCGCCGCAGCGTCGAAAACTCAACCCCTAAGCCGCGAATGTCGGGAATACTCATGGAAATAGGCGGATTCGATGTTCATCTTGCAATGAACAGCAGACGGCGATACTGTTTGAATAAGGTTGCTAGACAGTCGTGTCAGTGGTATCATCTGCCCTTATGGCCTTATAAGATATCGCGAAGAACTTAAAGCTTTGGTCTTCTGTCCTCCGGCGATTTTGATGGCGTAGCGACGTTTGAACTGACCGTGGAGGTCCTATTCAAGCGACAGGAAGCTGCGTTGAGGACATGCGTAAGCTCGAGTGGTTTTTCGTTGTATTGAAAGGCGAATTTGCGAACGACTGCCGGTAACCGATACCATCGTCATTTGGAAATATCAGTCTGATCATGAATGGTGTCAAAAATGCAAAAGGGAGCTGATTAATGAACTCTGAGTTGATAGCATTCGAATGATGCCATGAATAGCTTACACGCTTTTTGCAGAAAAAGGGAAACCTGCCGTTATCTGACTCAGACATAACGCCGCAATAATCTCAATCAACATCTACAAGTTCGCGCGGTCGATGCGCTTGCCGCTCTCGTCGAATCGGATCTGCTTCCCGCTGACAAGCGCCTCTTGCAACCAGGCGCCGATCTGCACAGCCTTGACAGCATTCTGGAACTCCAGAGGAACTGGTGTGTTGTCCAAGCACGCGGCTGTGAACTCGTTGGCCTCCTTGACGAAACCAGGCTCGAAACGACCCCAGTAATCGGCGGGTACCTCCCGGGTAATGCCAGCCTTGGAGTAGTAGTTGACAAGGTTCTTCTGGGGGTTAAGGTTGACGGTAAGCTTGCCCTCGGTGCCGATGATCTCGGTAACATCTTCTTGGCCGTGGGTCATCATGCGAGAGGCGTAGTAGTGGGCGATCCTGCCGTCCCAGAACTCGACGATGCCGACGGCGTTATCGTAGTCCTTGTGTTGCTTGAGACCTGGGAGAATGGCGACAACACCGTTTGCGGAGATGGACTTTGGTACCACGTTGGAGCCGAAGTACCACAGGGTCAGGTCGATGTCGTGCACGGACATGTCGACGAATACACCGCCAGACCATGCAGCATATTGAACGAAGAAGTCTGATCGAAGGAATTAGCATCTGATTCGACGATGTGTCAATTATCATTAGACATACCTGGGTCGGGATGTTGCCTGTCACAAGTTTGTGATCGGACAACTGTGGGTCTGCCAATGGCACCTTCCTCAATCTTGCGTGCAACATCTTGGTAGCTATCGTCGAAGCGCCTTGAGAAACCGCACATGACCTTGAGGTGTGGCTTCTTCGCAGCTGCGTCAACGACATCCTGGCAGATCTGGACGCTGGTGGAGAGAGGCTTCTCGCAAAGGACGTGCAGGTCCTTCTCGATAGCTTGGAGAGTCTCCTCGGCATGTACCGAGGTCGCTGTGCCGATCACTACAGCCTCTAGGCCCTTGTGCTCAAGCATCTTCTTGTAGTCGTCGTACAGAGTAACGCCATATGGCTCGAGGTGCTCCTTGCCCCATTTGAGCTCATTCTGATCGGGAGAGAAGGCAGCGACAAGCTCAGCGCGAGGAGTCTTGTTCAAGATGTTGAGGGCGTGGCGAGCGCCCATGCGGCCGAGACCTGCAACGGCAACTTGGAGTCTGTGAGGAGCCATCTTAAAGCGATTTCGGGAGGAGTGGAAATGCTAGTTTATGGAGATGGTAAAGGGGGAGGAGTAAGATGAATGCAGGATGAGCGATCGAAGCGCAGCGAGGAAGACATTTTATACTGGCTGTGGGCAGATCACTAATTCTCGTGCACCTTCGGAGGAGGTTTTTGTCAATGTTCTCAGCATCTTCGTCGAGCTCGCTGATTGGCCAGATAGCGTTCGTATGAAGTTCGGAGGAGGTTTTCGCAATGCGATGCGCGCCGGTGTGGGGAACATGCGGGCGGAGTGCTTGGGATAGGTGCCAACAGCACTGAGCGGGGCCCGGAGGAGGTTTTGCATTGTAATTTACACTAGCGTTCAAGTCAAGACCGGCACCAGCACCGTGCGCAACCCTCGGAAGAAGGTTTAACGATGGCAAAACACCCCGCCAGGGCAATTTCCTCCGTTTCCTCCTCACGAAGACCACGAATGCTTCACCCTAAACTGGATCAGCACTGGATAAAAGACGATACCGCTTCTTTTTCACCCTATCTCCACGCCGCGACCCCAGATATGATCTTCAAGTGTAGTCTGCGGGGGAAGAAGCGCCGAAGCTTGCTCCGTCTAGGGACACCGGCGTAGACGTGACCTAACAAACGACTACCATTAACTTCATATTCATCCATCGCTCCTCGGCGCACGTATCCATAGCTCGGTCGGTGCCTTAGAGTCAAATATGGTGCTCATCCCCGAATTCTGATGTCCGCCCGCATATGTTGTACACTTCGATTAGAATCACCGGCTTGCCGTAGACCTTGTCTCCGATTGCCTACGCGTTTACGACCCAGGAACTGATTTTCAATAAAGAGCGCCGAATTTGCCATGGTCTCGCTGACCGTCTAGCATTTCAAAGGAGCAAGGAACCATACTCCTCACAGGATCTACACATACGTTACAGCAGACGATACTCGCCCGAGATGACCTTTGTGGCTTCCAATCGCTGTTGTCCAGTTTAGAACACGAGCAACTAGACATTACCGCAACCTGTGTCATCAAAACGGCTTATGAAGAGTCGGTATACATTGTTTGCAAGCGCGTTAGCTACGGAAGCGCATCGAAGTGTGAAAGTCGATTTTACGCTTGATATGCGGTGAGGTGTTGGGAGGCTGTGCGCAATTGCGAACCAGCACACCCAGGAAACCCGCGCGCATCAAGCAGCCTAATCTTACGACTACAGCGGGGCTTCCAAAACTATAGAGGCGTTCGCCTTCAATGCAACAGATAATTTTCTAGACTACACAAGGAAGTTCGTATGCAACTGATGAGAATCTAGTAAGATACGAGACGAATCGCGATATGGTGTCTACTGCTATGCCTACTGACTGCAACGTAAACTAGGGGATGACCGGTTCTCATTCACTACTCAGCCACAGGAGTATAGACTTGATCTAGCGATTTAAAGCCCTCGCTCGAGTTATCTTCGGAGCACCAAGATACGGACGTCACATCTTGGATTGGAAATGTTATCGTCGTTGCGAAGGTACCATGCGGTAGTTGATCTCGCAACAATCCAGCGAGTAATGCAAGATGTTCATGCAACAGTCGCATGAAGCGCTTTCTTCTGTTTTCTTTTCTCTCGGTCGAGTCTCGCTGTCGTGTTATTCGTGATGCGATCTAGCCAGGCTTCAAGCTGTATAGTTGTGAGCAAACAGTCATTGAGCGCCGCTATGTGAGTCTGACCGTAGTGAATTTGAACAGCAGCCAACCTGTAAATGTCAACAGCATACATCCACCACCGACAGGTATATACCACTTCCAGCTCGGGTTATCTCTCAGTATGTCGACGTTCATTCCGAATAGACTCTTTGATAAGATCAGCTCAATTTGGCACACAGATCAGGGTGCACATACGGCGGAGAATGTTGCTGGGAGAAACACGAACTAGTAGTGTGTCAGCAGCGTCTTGATAATCGAGCGAAATGGACGTAAGCACATACTGTGATCCAACTGAGGCGCTTTAGGCTAGCTGACATGGTGACTGACTTGCGAGCTTCTCGGATCGTCACGAGATTGAATTCCTGGGTTTTCAGATCAATGATGCTAAGTTGGAATGCACATGATGTCATACGTACTATGTTAATAAGGTTTTGTGATGTGGTATCGAGCGAGTTCAGACTTTGCTCTATATCAGCCTGGAATCCGTGCAAGAACAGTTGGCAGTCTCCATAAGCATCGTCTTCTCGATAAAGCCGGTTGTAGTCGAAAACAAACTGAGTTGCCTCTTTGACATGATCTGCTAACAACCTGCGAAGTTCTGTCCATTGTTGTGCGTCTTCTAGAAGTTGGTCTGTGAGCTCTAGGTCTTCGCCCTTTGCATTGAGAATCTCCTTTCGCTTAGAACGCAGAATCTAGTCAGCCTCGTTGACAATCGGAAACACTTTTACGTGGTAACTCACACAGTGTTGCAAGCGCAATTCGCCATTCTCGCATACCATCTCCCACCTTATCCTCATCTGCTTCAAAAACTGGAGGTACATGTGTAACATCTCTTCCGGAATCCAGGTATCAGGCAAGTTGTGATAATGAGTCAGTCGACGGAAGCCATCTTTTCCATTCTCATCTTTGATCATGCTCCACCTCATCCCAATAGACATTATTGATGGCAAAGAAAATCCCATCTTCTGTTCCATCGTTGTTGCTGATGGAAAATCCAGTACCACTAGATACGTGATCACTGGACCTTTCCACGAACTTTTGTGTTGAAACGACAAGCTCGGGTGATCTGCCCGCAGCCATACTGAACATGAAGTTGCGGGAAAGATGCTGAGTGTGTTTCAGAACACTTCCAAATTACGATATAAGCTCACGATGACTTACAATAAATCCATTGCTTGACTTTGTACCACACCTCCAATATCAACTAGTGCGTTCTCTTCTAGAAACTTGAGTGAAGTCTTCCTCACTGATCTGATGATATGCATGACACTACATTGGGGTTTGCCGTATGCGTTCCGCCACTGCTCCACGGTGGTGTTTTTGGTAGATGCACCCATGTCAAGCAGAGTATCTGCCGTCTGGCGTTGGCCTTTCTGGAGTGCGAGTGCTAAGGGTGTGTCTCCATTGCTGTCAGCCTGATCAAACTCGGCGTCTTCTTCCAAAAGCTTGTGAGCAATGATTGGTTTGTCTTCCATGATGGCGTTGTGTAGTAGAGTTCTACCCCAAGCTCCCCTTCGGTTGAGATCATATTTTGCATCTAGGAGCAGCTGTACAAGATCCACGTCTCCAAATCTAACGAGCGAGCTGACTGTCTCATAATCCCTGGGTATCAGGATCTTAGCCGTCTCCTTCATCCCGCTCTTAGCTGCCCACCACAGTGGAGTATGGCCATTGCTATCCTTTGCGGCGACATCATCGACTTTTCTCTCAATCAATTCGTCCAGGATCTCATGAAGACCGAAGTGAGCAACAAGATGCATGCCAGTAATGCCTTGTGGAGCGACCTGACTAGATCCGGTACCTCGTGGCATTTCCTGGGTAGCGAGAAAAACCTGGTAGGCCGCAGCTACGCTCTGGTCATTTTCGAGAAACCGCCAAAGCAGCTCCTTATTCTTGTCTTCAACGGGCAAGATATGCTGAGCCCAGTACTTGCAAGCGTATCTGTAGAATGGGTATCTTGTAAGCCTCTTTTCTAATAACCTGTCGCTGCGACACGGCCCAGACTTTAACTCGGAATGTGCTAAGCATACGATACACATGTTTTGCAGCTTATTGACAAAAGAACTTGGAGCACGGAGTTGTCCATGGAAGCCTTGCAATGCGTCTGGCTGGAAGTAGCGCGATGCGTTAAGCCCTACAAGCACGGAAGTTGAGTCGTGTACCCAAATGACCTCCTGTGATCTAGATTCGACTTTCAGCAAACCCCGACACGAGGAGATAATGGCGTTAGCTACACCTTCATCATGGGTATCCAGCGGATCAAGGCCTTTGCTTTGATCACTAATGTCAAAAACCAGTGCCTGCTGCATCTCTGGCATAGTCAAATTCCTTTTCGCGAACGAGATCAGCGAAAGGACTCGACTTGCGAGTTTCGCATAGTCTTCACGCTGCTCCATAATTCGACGTGCTTCTCGACTATGAAAAGATGTCAGAGCGGATGACTCGGAGGGCGAGCTGACAAAGGCTCTAACTGCTTTCCATGAATCCAGTTTACCTATGCATTGCTCTGCTAACGAAAACCTGTTTATCGATCAATAAAAGTTAGTTTTGGAACTGGTTGTCTTACATGTCCTTTGAAAGTAGCACCAAGCTTTTTTTCAAATCGTCCATTAGCGTTTGAGAATGGAGCTTTTCTCCGAACCGCCTGATATTGATATTTTGTAGTTCGCGGTCCACAAATGTGGAGACGTCCCCCTCCTCTGCTTGTATGTCGATGCGGCCGTCTTCCCGAATTTGCCCTATAACATCAGGCACATTCCGTAGAGTGAAGAGCAGCTTCGCTCCGAAGTTTTCTTGTAGGTCCTGAAGACTTGCGATTGCTTCATCGGTACCTTTTTGTGCCGAATTGAGCTCATCCAGGGCATCTATGACTATGTAGACCTGGGTGTATAATGTTCCCACCGTGTTGGCTAATTCAGTAACAGCGTCAAGAGTTACTTCAGTACTATCTATCCAGGGTCCAGTATCCTGCAGTCGGTCTGACCATGGACAGTTCTCCACGAGTTGACTTAGTAATTGTTTCATGACCCTGAGAGTTGAAGGGACATCGCCAAGTTTCGCATCGAGGTACGCAAATGCAACACCTATTGATCCTTTGAAATCCTGGTTGCGTGATATGTCATTGAGTCGATCCACTACTTCTGAAGCGAGCATGGTTTTACCGGAGCCTGGTATACCTGGGCAGACCAAGGTAAAGCAGTCTCCGTCTAACCACCTCTGATATTGTTCGGTTTCGAAAAACCAACTTCCAATGCCCTTCAGAGACTTCTCCCTCAACCTTGAATGCTGTTGCTCTGCCATAGTCATCCTTCTTCCAAAAATCTTTTTCTTTTTTCGCTTGATGGTATAGCCAAGCCATGACATGACCTGTTCTCGGAAACGTTCAAGTTTCAACTCATCTGTCTCTCGAATGGGTTTAGCACAAGAACATTGCTTTCCAGTACGACAAGGGAAAATAGTTTGGGTAGTTACCTTCTTGACCTTGCTCGACGACTTGGTCGCCCAAGTTTGTGACGTGTGTTATGATCCGATCTCCCGTACTACTGGTGGCTGTCTCCATTATTGACGGTCCCTTGACTCTTTTCCAAGGGCGAAGAAGGACCAGCGCCGTAAAGATTGGATGAGCAACCCTGTAGCCGGGCAAGGACAATGTGATGGTCAATGGTGCAACGATCCGATGATAATACAATCATAGAAAACTTTACTTGTTCTTGCTGACGGTGTTTTGTGTCGAAAGCCCGTTGTTCCTGGAAGATATACCAAGAAAAGACTGTAACTGGAGGTTGAATGAGATCTCGTTTTGCTCAGGTCGCGCGACAATTCATATAGTCCATGAGTCTCGTGGATTATAGCTGTTTGTTTCGTGCTTCAGTTATGTTAGTCGAAATGTGTTTTCTGGAGGATAAGAAGCTCGCAGCAACGAGTTCTTTAGTATGTTCGACGAAAATTGGCCAGCATGACGGCTATATATTCCAGCAAAAACGATCTTACGTCAAGCCAGGCTCACGAGCTTTTCACGAGGTCTTATTGACTGTTGCGTCCAACAGGCGCATAATCTTCAACGGTGAAAACGAACCCGTGCAGGTGCTTGCCGACTGAGCAGCAACGAAGGCGCAAGGCCACGTCAGTACATGAAACTCAGCACACTACCAAGGATTAAACTCATGCACCATGCTAGAGACCATGCATGAATTAACCCCACCCGGGCGCTAGTGCTGTCCCTAGCAACCTTCCTGGACGCACCTATTGGTCGATCAGAGAAACCGGTCAGTCCTTCGTAAGGGAAAAAGTATCAGGCTCTTCAGCTGAGCCGCCCCAAGCTGCAACGATTGGACATATTTTGAGATCTTCCAGATCTGCTGAACTTTCGATGGAATGTGGTAAAGTTGCGTCCTCATTCTGAATTTAACGAACCCAGGCGATGTATAGCGCAGGGTGCGGGGTAAGAAGTACAGTCCGTGCGCACCGAACGAGCCAGTTCAGTCAACGAGCCACCCCACCAAGATCGGACGACCAAAAAGATGAGGTTATTGAGCCACCCACAAAAGCTATTATCGTGAGATTTTTTAGTGTATTACTATATAGACGCTACTAAAGCGTTTGCACTACTTGTATCTCGCTGGCGTCTTAATTCGGCGGGTGTGCAGGCTAAATTTAGGTGGGGAGGGCGCCCGAGGCGGACCCTTAACTACCTAGCTTAATAGAGTAACAACACGACAACGCTTTGCTAGTTTTTTTGCTAGCTTAGCTAAGGCTTCTCGCTTACGCTTATTTGCTGTATTGTAAGTTTTTTTTAGTATTGCAGCTTGTTGTTGCTGCTTTTTAAGTTCTCGCGCGGCAGCTTTCTCCTTACGCTGCCGTAACTCCTCCGCATCCTTAGCAATTTTAGCTTATTAACGAGCCACCTTTGCAGCTTCTTAAGAGCGCTTTTTCTCTGCTGCTTCTGCTGCTTTTCGCTCTCTATCGCGAGCTTTTTAGAGTTGTTGCTCGGCGGCTTTGTCTAGTTCTGCGGCCTTGCGCGCGCGGAGACTGGCAAGCTTCCTAGGACTGTAGAATACAGCTCCGCCGTGCTAATCGTCGCCCTCTTAAGTAGTTAGTGTTGTTGATTTAGACAGTCAGGATCTTATAAGGTTAAGTTCAGCGCGAAGCTCCGCGTTTTGGAGGCGGAGAAGCTCGTTATTAACCTGCAGCGAGTGTAGGCCTTAGGACAGCCGTTTAGCTTTAAATTTGGCCTTGTTAGCCACCGCAGCGTCAAAAATTTTGCGCAGTTAAGGCTAGGTATCGCTGTCGCCTTGCTCCCTAATTTTTAGCTCGTTATCTTAGTGTTATAGTTAGTTATTATAGCGTTAAAGTACTAGGTCAGCGTCTATTAGCTATACGCCTGTAGCTTGAAAACTCTTTAATATGAGATCGTAAGTTATTGTAGAGCTCTAAGCTAGCCAAAAGTTGCTGTAGAAGTCGCGTTTGGTGATCCTTGAGATGCCCTGCGTACGGTGGAGGCGTTAGGTGAGCTCCTCTGTGTAGTGCTTTAAAAGCGGCGCAAAGAGCACAACATCTAACAGCTGCAAACTGTGTGTAGAATGTGGTAGGTACACTATAACTATAATGCGTTTGGCTTTACAATACTCTAAAAAATCGGGCGTGAGGTGGCTAGCGTGGCCGTTAAGGATTAGAAGGCGCCATTGCCGGCGAGCTTTGGCTACCGTGAAGCGTTCGAAGACCTGTTGAAGCTAGGCAAGTCCTAAATTATTATTTAACTATCCTGAAGCTGAGTAGGATACGAAGATTTAGTGTTAATCGGCCAACAGGTCGTTAACTTAGCTTGATTGAACCCCGGAGATGCCCTGATAGATAAGAGCGGGCGGCAATGCCTCTCTAGAAGCGCATACGCAAGCCAGCAGCGTAATCTATTCTCTGTTGCTATCCCTTATCGCTGCGGTACGCTCCCCGGACTTATAAACTGCCTTAGAGAAGATCCTCTTCCTGCGGTGGGCGATGCTGACAAAGAAGCTCTTCTTATCTATATTGTACGTGTTGCATTCTTCAATCTTATGTTCTCGCATTTTAGAGTGCAGCAAATTAAAATATAACTTGTATTTACGCTTGTTGTTAGCTAAGTAACGCTTACGATCTATACCGGTGTCCTATTTAGAGATAAGCTCATCGGGATGACGGTGTTGAAGCTGGGTAACCTAGCTATCCGAAACCTTATGTTGCGCAACCGCGCTGCCGAAATTCTTTAAAATAGACCTTGTAGGTGGTACGCTAGCTCTTGTTTGCCCTTCTATATACCTAATAAGCTCATCCTCTTGTTGTGGGTTGAGATTTCGTCGACGTTCGGCCGCCTCGGTGCCCCGGGGTTGTTGTGATCCCTTGTGCCTCCGCGACAACGTCGTTCGATTAACTCCGAATATTTTTGCAACTTGGCGGTACGAGAATTTATCTCCCGCCTCACGCGATTCGATATATTCAATCGCTTCTTGAATCGGATCCATGGTTGTGGAGTTATGACGCGTCGCAGTTGGGATGGGTCATGAGGTTGCGGGGCTTCGGGTGGCTCGTTGACTGAACTGGCTCGTTCGGTGCGCACGGACTGTACGGAGCTTTGCTCGATCAGTGGTACAGACAAATGAAGCCATGTACTACCAACTTCAATCATGTTGTCATTTGGTACGTATCGCAACATCTGCCACGCGTCGTTCCTACCTGTCGGCATGCCGTATTCAGCCTTTGCTGCGCCACCGGTCATAGAAATATCGTCCGGATACTACTTGCGGCAAACGAACGGAGCGTATCATGGTAAGAAAACGACGCATCACCGGAACAACGCATGTATCACACTAGCGTGATATCTCTGAAATATGGACCAGAATCGAGGGCTTCACCTTGCATAAAGCCGTGAACATAGGCGCCCCCAACAACCTGGAACGTATGGAAATCGACCTCGCGAAGAACCAGAGGCACGCGCGATCCAGGAACAATCCATACTGAATCATGTTCGAGGAGACCCTCAGGCCCTACTCCAAGATACCGTCTGCCAGTCAAGAAGATTCGAAGATGACGAGCATGCGAGAAAGTTGTTTCAAACTCGTCGGAGTTGATAGGGTCTTTCTGTGTCTCTGGCAAAGCCGTGCTGTGCGAAGCCGATGTTGAATTGAAAGACACTGGGTAACCGGAGATCTCAGCTGCCACAAGCCTCACGATGGACTTGATGAAAGCTGGATCTTGAATGCTTTGAAGCTTGTCTTGGATGCAAGCCAAGAGTTTGGAATTTATCCAGGAGACGTATGCAGAACGGTAGCTATCCGGAGCAGGACAGCTGGGAGGGGCCCCTGCCGTATCCGTGATCAGTGTTCGCCACATAACCTCCGCTCGAGACTGCCCTGTGTGATATATATGAGGCATCTCTTCCAGGATCTGAAGCAACAAAGGAAATGGTTTGTTATCGAGGATGCTCTCTTTGGTCTCACCGATGAACACGATATCGTCTAGTCGAAATCCTTTGATGGTCAAACGACGGTTCCACTCATCGATATGCAGGGTCCTGGAGAGGGTGCCTGCAGCTTTGAACCTCTCGTAACCGGTCACACCCAGTCCGATCGTTCGAGCACGACTCCAATCAGGAGCCCACGAGGGCAAAGAGGGAATCTTCTGGAAGTTGTCGCCTTCGGCGCAAGAGAGCAGGAGCAAATCCTTAGAATCCTCCAGTATCTGGATCGCAGCCAACGTGTACGTCTCCGCAACCGATCTCTCGCCATAGACAGGAAGTAGGCGGTTTTTCTTCAAAGTCGACTCTCCTGTGATGCTAAGGAGCGAATAGACTTTGTCTCGAGGATCTTCACACGTAAAGCGGCGGAACCTGATGAGAGAGTAAAGCAGGCTAGGTGTATATCTGTTGGCGTCAAGGATGTTTGGAACACCATGGCTCGATGGGTGTGACCCCGGAAGGCTGGAGATCCATCTAGACCAAGAACTCAGAGCAAGGAACTCTGACACTATCGTGATAGCCAACCAGCCCACGGCATGGCTTCCGCATAGAGCAATCATCGTGTTGGCGAGTGTGATCTCTTGGATAATCCATGCACGAGTGAGGTATCGCCGTTGGAAGAGCTTGGCCAGTGATTTCCAGGCGTTGCCGTCTGCGCATATCCCAAGTTCCTCAGTCAAACCTGGTCTATCCAAAGACCTGGGGGTAATGTGCATAAGCCCTTCAATCCTTTTGCCCCGCTCAGTGGCTGTAGAGTGGCTCACCAAAGCCGTTATCAGCTCAAAGGCAATACCGGCATTGTCATGTTCTTCGCCCAACCAGGCATACACAATTGCAGCAGATCGATAAATTGTGCCCATGATGTGTACCTGACGACTCCGCTCCAAGGGATCATTTTGGTTAATGCAGATGGCATCTATCCAATATAATTTCGAAACATGTGAATCATTGTCGCGCGCCCTTTTCAGGAAAGCCTGAAGGTTTTTTGTAATCAGGATTTGGTGCTTGGTCGAAGGAAGTTGATCTGCAGATCCAGGCTTCGCTTGGCAGAGCAACGGAAGGCTTGGCTTGCTTGATGAAGCTTCTGCTTCTTGATCGGGGAGTGCAGTAGGGGAGCCCCAGGTGTACGAGAGTGCGACATATTCTGGCTTGGGCTGAAGATCGACAACTTCAAGCTCACACGCGAGATACTGTGATTCGTCTGGTGGGAGGATTCTCAGGAGTCTGATCTGATTCTCTGGAGCTAGCTGCAATTCTGCATACAAATCGACCATGTTTCCGGCGTGCAGCTTCTGTTCGGTTCTTGTTCGTTTATCATTCCAATCAGCGAATGATGAAGACTGAAGACAGGTCAATCGCGTTGGAGCGACAGGAGGTACCCATAAAAGATTCGGAATCGGGAAGGAGCTGTGAATAATATAGCCGCAGTTGTCGTCACTTCTGGGGTTCTCGCTGGGAAACTCGAAAGTCGCAATACGTGGCATGCGGGGTAGGGTTCCATTTGCGGGGCCGATTTAGGCAGCATCCTGCTGACCTGGCTGAAAGCTGAAAACTAGAAGCTGAAAGCTGAAAGCTGAGACCTGAAAGCTGAAAGCTGAAAACTTCGCGCAAACTTCGCGTTAGGACCCTTTAAGCGTTCTCACCATCTTCAAACTCCCCTCCGATTCTCGAATGCTATTTCAGAATCTAGCTTGTGCTCTAAGCTTTGGTATAATGGCAAGCAAATCTGCGACTTGGCAATTCCAGTTCCAGGCTGTGTCCGGTTTCTTCATCGACTTCGTCGAAGAGGCCAGACGTGACACTTCCTTCCGTGCCACAACTTTGCCTGGACTTGGTCTAATTGACAGAACTTACGAGACGGATGTCGACAAGAATTTGAAGGATGACCAAAAGCTCTGGAAACGTTTTCGGGATTATGTCAACTACCTCAACGACCAGAGCGCGGCCTCCACCAAATACAAAGTCTTGTACCTTACAAGACACGGGCTAGGGTTTCATAACTCCTTCGAATCGGAGGTGGGACGAGATGCTTGGAACGTGGGTCGATGAATTCACGCTTATCTCTAGATTTACTTACTATGAGTAGAGCCATTGGTCGCATCTTGATGGAGATGGAAAGGTCATTTGGGCCGACTCTCAATTGAATGCAGATGGCATCAAGCAAGCGGAGGCACTAGGCCAGTTCTGGTCAGACGCTGTCTCCAACGAGGGTATTCCTTTACCTGGCACGTTGTACACCAGCCCTCTCGCTCGCTGTCTGAACACCACGCGTCTCGCGTTCGCGCGGACGTTCGAAGAACAGGGAGTGCAGTTTCGGCCGATCGTCAAAGAGTCACTACGCGAACTCATTACCGATCATACCTGCGATCGAAGAAGTACACGAAGTTGGATCGAAGAAAACTATCCCGACTACATTATCGAGCCAAATTTCGTTGAAAAGGATAGCCTTTGGACAGGTGGACACTGGGAAACTAGGGATGAACATACAGCGAGGAAGCAAGCAGTGCTGGAGGACATCTTCTCAACAGATGAAAATGCTTTCATAGGACTTACGGTGCATTCTTACGCCATCTCTGCTATTTTGCGAGCAGTAGGATTGCCCGAGTTTCGAGTGCGAGAGGGTAGCAGTATCGCGCTACTTGTCAAAGGAGAGAAGATAGACCGTAACAACTAGATTGTAATTATATGCGCTGGCTGAGACGGAGAAGTGCAAGGAATCAACGCGACCAATGGCACATTGCAGAAACCGTTGAACCCTCGATGCAACCCGACAACAGATACCCGTTATTGAACCGCCCCATGTACCATTATCCGTTCGTACTGCACATAGTAGTACTGCTGGTGCTGTGGTAATCGATCGTCGCTGCCCGCTGGGCGCGTCCAGGCTTGAATCGGTTGTGACGAGGCGAAAGGGTAGGCGTGCGAAGGGCGATTCGATAATGGTAGATCTGCGCGTGAAATTTTGTGTCAGCTTCCTGGATGTATCGAGTGCGTGATAGTACAAAAGCATACCTTCTGCGGTGTGAAGAGAAAGGGCCCGACTCAATCGGCCGCGCGATCTCCCCCGCGCCCTCGACCACGCTAACGATGACGCGATGCCTATTATGGCTACCACCACCCCAATGATACCAATGACCGCTTCCGTAGACATATGATCTTTCACAGTCTTTATATCGCTATTGACATTCCGCCGCCAAATGGTTGGACGTGAGTAGATGGGGAGGGCATGCACAGTATTGACGAATGCGATCAATAATACAAGCAAGTAGTATAACATGTCAAGGGACATGTAAGGAGGGTGTGATGAGTCTGACTGGAGATGCCAGTATACCTAGGTATCGGAATGTAAAATTATAGAACAAATGGACGGAGACGCTCGTATTGATTCTGCTCCTTACACAGGTGATCGAGAACGCTTCTTACATAGCTCGAGGTGCGGGGATATCCAGAGGGCCTGACATAGCTGCAAAGGGGCCGCGGATGGGCATGGGTGGAGCACCAAGTCTTCTTCGCATTCTCAAAAAGTAGGCAAAGCAGGCATGCAACGCGTTCGTTTTATTTACAGCAGTGCAGTGTCAGCCGCATATACAGCCTTAGTGGCTTGAAAGGGCTTGGGCTAACTGAGTAAGGCTCGACCTACCCTGATCGCTCTTGGGCTGATCGTGTCAAGCTAAGTGAATTTGGCTCGACCCACCTAGGAGCCTGGCGTGCTGCATGTGAATGCGAGCCATGAGGTAATCCTCTCGTGCAACCTCGAGGTAATTGCTCCAAGGAACGCCACGAGCTAACGACGTATATCGGAGTGATGAGAAACAGTTTATTATACGCGGAACAAGTCGGCTCTCCACTACCGCTCGGCACTATGCCGAGTAGTATATGAGTATATCCACGTCGAAGCAAACTTCGCTGCAAAGAAGACTAAGTCCCCATCCTGATACGATAGCTTCGTACGTACTAATGATACAGTATATAAATTCCCTGATAGTGCAACGCCACTCAACACCGAGCAAACCGGACCCAACAATGCAAACCCATAGGTACTTCTCAATGCTCAGTCGTTACATCGAGTGCTGCACCGTCAGCCGCTCATAGTGTATATGGTAATTGTATTCGTGCGACAAGTTCTGTCCGCCGTTGCCAGCTGTGCGCGTCCAGGTGCCGATTGGGTACAATGGCGTGAAAGCACCACCATGCGTCGAATAGTTGGAGGGTATCAATTCTGGCGAAACGAATTAGTTTAGCGATCTCGAAGTGGTGGAATCTCGACATGTGTATACCTTCTAAGGTGTGACGGGATCCACTACGCGACTTCCCTCGCTTCGACCACGCTAGCGAGGATGCAATACCTAATAGAGCAACGGCCACGCCAATAACACCTATAATCGCTTCCGTAGACAGTTGATGATCTCCAGTTTCGGTATCCATAGTCACATCCCGTCGATAAGGGTTTGTGTATGGACAAGTAGGGGTGGCTCGGACTGTCATGGCCAGTGCAAACATGTATGTAAGTGGGCTAAGAAACATTTTCGTCAATGGCTGCGTCGCAGCCGAGAACTTTCTGCTTGTTCATATAGGCGCGCAATCTTGGTGCTTATGAAAGGCTGGCAGGACTGTTGGCTTTGTAGTTGGGTCACGTTGCTCGACTGGGAGACAGAGGTTGAGGCGGTGAGTCGGGTTAGAGTGGAGCCAGATCACTATGGTTGACGAATAGCATGCGACTACCCCGTAGCGACACACCTGCTCCTATATCTGAGTAGTGATGTACACAACGCAGAGCAGATGGAGCGTTGTCTAACGTCTATATTCACGGGACCTGTCAGACGTGTTGTGTAGATACTCATCAGTTGAAGATTTGGAAGGAGCAAGGTCAATACATTAAGCCATACGTTCATGCTTTCTCTGACTGCGTGAACGCCTGTATCGGCCGATGGGAAAGATTGGAAAGCCGTTCATAAGAAAAAAGTATAAGCTCCACCAATCCATCAGTGTCCGAGCCGATAAAACCACGCAATACCCAGTCGCTGAACAGTTTGATATCAAGCTCGCGTAATGTCAGAATTCTGTTCAGATGGCTACACACTTGACAGAGAGTGAAAGTGACGAAATTCGGGAGCCGCAGCCCCAGGGGACCTAGACGCCCGACTCTAATCCACATGTGGTAAAGTTTGGAACTTCGCTAGCGTTGCTCCTGCATCAACACCAAACATAATTGGAGCTCCGACAGATCAATTCTTCCACCACCAACGCTCATCCACGAACCAAGATGAACGAAACACTCAAGGAATTACACAGTGATCTCGCCAACAAGTACCGGCAACATGGCCCGCGAATTGAAGAAATGTGGCGTTCGCTCGGCCAAGAACAACGCAAGAAGATCATGCAGGCAGGCTCTCGCGATGACGCTGTGCTGAAGCATGCTGAAGATACAAGCCTAGAGAATGTCTACAAATTCATCCCGGAATGGAACTTGCGCGACATCACTTCAACATCATCAGAATTCTTCTTCGACATGCTCAAGCACAGAGCAACTTCACCGCTACAAACCCAATATACGACTGGCTTCAATGGAAGGCCAGGAGATCATGCACATATAGTTGAGATGATGAAGAGGAAGAACTTGAAACTCAACAATGCCTCCCAATACAAGAATTGCTACACGCTCTTCTTGACCGAGGATGGATACGGCGAATCGGTCAAGATCGTCGCGGAGAAGCGGGAAGAAGTTCTGGCAAACATGAAGCCGGCTATACAAGCCCAGATGATAGTCCCTCAAGCTACCGGTGAACTTATCCTTATGCGACAGATGAACCTGATGCAGCTCCTGAACATCGCCATCGAAGACATCCTCGATACTGCATCCACCACGAGAACCCAGGCTAAGCGACCGAAGAAGCCAACTGATGAAGCGACTGCAGCCCTCGCAAAGCTGTCGGTACACGCGCCTTCAAAGAAACTAGAGCTTTCAGACCTTTCGGACATAGCGCAGGACCAAGTATCGTCCCGCGAGGACCTTATTATCCTGATCTCTACTGAGCCCACCGTCCTAGCCCATGAAGTCAACTTCTGCTTCTTCAGTAGACCAGAACTTGTTGCCGATGAGAAAGGGCGCATGCTGCCTGTACATACGGACAAGTATATCAGCGGCTCTGTATTCGAGGCGGTTCATGGCGCTGTCAGGGCGGCTGCCACATGGGATTACATTGGCCGTCTCTTGGATCTGTTCAAGGACTCGTCGGACAAACAGTTCAAAGCCATCGTCATCAAAGAGCTTTCAAATACTTGTCATCTGGAGTATCTCCGCGCTCAGACTGGTTTCAAACGGAGCGTAGCCGTCGGCATGGGTGGCAGCAAGTGGTTTAAGCGCATGTCGAGTAATGATGTCGCGCGTCTCTCACTGAAGCGCAGCCCCGAGTCTCTGACAGTAGAGAACCCACAGTTGCATTACATGCTTCGACTCTGCCAGGATGAGACAAACTGGTCGAATGCTGCACAGTGGCTCCAAAAACTGGAGGACCTCCATCGCGCTCACCCATTGGAACAAGACAACCTTTCGGAACGAGAATATGACTCTCTAGGGGGTTTGGCCATCATCGTTACCTTCATCCAGTCTCTCTCGTCAGTCGCGCAACTGCCCGCACCAAATCACAAGAAGAGTCAGCCGTTTGTGCCAGGTTATGCTTCTTTGGACAAGGAGCTGAGGCAACTGAAGGACGGCGTAGACCTTGGCGACTACGCTATTCCGATTGATAACTTGCTAGAGCCAGGTATGGCTGGAGGCGCCCTCTCCACGCTCGACCGGTATATTATAGAGAAGACGGGCACGAAACTTGGTTTTCTCTACCAGGATCTAGTCGAGAGTTGTGTGTCCAGCATCGAGCAACAGTATGAACAACAAAAGACAAAAGCTAGTAAGTCTCAGGCTGAGTACACCACGCCGACAGCTCCAGAGGTTTCGGCATCAACTATCCAACAGCGCAAACAAAAGGAAAAGACACGACCAGCGCAATCTTCGATTTACGAAATTACGCCGCAAGCCACCAAGGGTGACCAGCCGGTTCAGTCGAAAGACACCTTCAAAGTCAAGGCCTCAACTGCTGACGTCTTCACATCGCTGTTCTCAAGGTCATCTGCAGCTCGTAGTCCAGTGCGATGGGAAGCTTTTGTAGCCGCTATGATCGATCTAGGATTTTCGATCGATCCGAAAGTCGGCTCTATATACACTTTCGTCCCTCCAACGAAGATGTCAGTGCGGAGGGACATAACACTTCATCGGCCGCATCAAGCGAGCATTGAAGGACGACTTCTTCTGATCTACTCCCAGCGCCTGAAGAAGGTCTATGGCTGGGATAGCTCGACGTTCGTCGCGGCGTAGGATTCGGTGACATCAATCGGGTGGCTGTGTAGGCGCTGGGCTCTGCTTTGCGGCGGTGCGATACCGGATCACGTACGAGAATATGTATACCGATAAACAAGACTTCAGCACGTACCCCATCTTGCTCCTTTCCTGCCACAATATGAGACTTATGAGATGAGTAAAAAGCGATCACGGTTGTGCTGTTCGCCTCGCGATTATCGCGTTGTGTTGTTCAATGTCATGAGGTCGCATCAGGTGAGGGGGCGCCAAAATTGGGGGCTGAAGCGGCGCCTTTTGAGGATCAGCAGGGCTCTTGCCGCCGGCCCGCACCCGCACCTACTTCTCCCCTAACACCGTTGGAGCATGATTGCGATAGATCGATGCGACGCAACAGACCAGCGCGGACATAGATGAAAGCGCGATCAGCGTAGTTTCCTGGGATGTGGCCATTTGTGAGGTTCTTATCAAGCTAATATGCACGAAGCGTCGGACCTCGATCTAGACGGCGCTGCGACATATCCATGTTGGGTTTTCATGCCTGAAAGCCACGTCGGTTCCTCAAAGTCTAGGCGTTAACTTAGCACAGCCATTCATTGGACATTATGCTCGTGTGCGGGGTGGGAATCCAGCTCAGCGACTGTATCAAATACCTAGGCAGTAATGAGGCGCAGTTATCGAGGCACCGCTACATATAGCCACAGAAGTTCGAACAGCAATCAACAAACCACCGCCTCTTGTCAGTGTTCATCTGCAAATATAGGTCATAAATCATGGCTAATCCCTCGCACCCGCAAAAGCTTGTATACCTGGCTCTCAAGGATATTTTCGATGCAGACCCAGTCCCGCCTAGCACATTGAAGTCGATTCGCAAGAAAGTCGAGAAGAATAGGGACGATGTCAGACTCAGAAGTTTGGTCAGGGACTATGGAGTTGAAAGCATTGCCAACATGGCAAAAGCACTGATGGATGACCAAGTCTTCCAATCAGTCGCGAAGGCCCAAACACGCTTTCCAGGAGTTTTTACAACTACTCCACCTAACCAGTCTAATCCACCTATTCCCATTGGACCCAAAGCTATGGCAAGCAGTGCAGCGACCGTACAACGCGCAGGGAATTATAGCCCTGAAAGACTCCTGGGCATCAGAGACGAGATAAAGACCAGTCAGGGTAGTGACAAAACCGAGACCAGTATGCTTGTTTTGGGAATTTCCTGGTTCAATGGATGTATCTAACCGCAACAGATCCTCAAAACCAACCGTTTGATTGCATATCCCTACCACTCTGGGATCAGCACCGACTCCTAGCTAAAATACAATACGCTCTCGAGAAAGCATGTTTTACTTTTGCGCAGGAAAGACTGAGCTATATTCTGCAGAGCAAAGGGTGGGATTGCGCAGAAGCAGTCGAACTCAATCGATGGTCGAAAGTCCTGCTCAACTGCCAACACGTATTGAATCCAGACACTGTGAAGAACATTGGAAAGCCTTTACCCAGTCTCATGGATTGGGTTACGCAGCTCCGGCATGATGCCGTTCATCGAGTCCACCTTTCTTCTAGCAATCTTTTGCAGCGGATAACTGCTGCTATGCTGCTGGCACGGCTGCTACAAGACAACGAATGTAGCAAACTGATACTCAATATGCGGGAAAGGACCGAGGATGCCTTACAAAAGCTCTTGCACAATAAGCGATTACTGGATCACAAAGTGGCTGAGATCAAGAAAGAGTTTGTACTTAAAAGAGCTGAGTTGGAGCGGCAAGAAGCCGCAATGCTGGCGGCGGCCGTGAGTGAGCACAACGAGCCTTTCGTTTCTGTGAGCGAGAGTTTGGAGATGGTAGCTAAGGAGCGTGGTAATTCTGCTGGGATACATGCCCCGTGGAAACATGGATGCGATGCAACTCTATCTGGGAGCTCTCTTCCCGACGATGAGTCTTCTGGGCTGAAAGATAGTGCTGGAACGCATGTAGAGGCTGCTACTACTGAATCCGCTGCTAAGCCTGTAGCGACTGGATTACCGCACGCGACTGAAGAGGAAACGAAGAAGGTTGAAGAGGAGAAGATGAGAGCCGGGAAAGAACAAAAGTCGGATTCTGCGAAACAATCAGTTGAACAGCAGGAGGAACTGGGAGGTGAAGAAGCCGAGAAGGAAGAAAGTGCTGCCAGGTTTGATTCTAGACAACAGATGGGCAGCGGTGATGCCAAACCAGTCAATAGTGAACTCGAAATGCTCAATCGGCTGATTGACCGAGTGGCACCACCAGTCAACAATGGCTCAGTCGACAGTAAACCAACAAGCGAAGAACCTGTTCACAGCAAGCAAGTCGACGACGAGCTTGCAAAGGACAGACTAGTCGAAGATGAGCTAGTCGAGACAGCCATCATCCACGAGCATAAGGAAGCCGAGGAAGCAGGATCCAAGGAAGGAAGACATGGGGAAGAAGATCAAGAGAAAGAGAATGTATCGGGTGGAGAGCCATATTTCGCACCACCAGAGCTTGAGCCTGGTAGTCATGGTAGCGATCTGGAGCGACTCTCGGAGATTCCGTCGTTCGAAATAGAGCCTGCGGTGACAGACATCGAAGAGGTAGCCGAGCGAGCTGGTAGGGAGTCAGAGGTAGCAGATGCTTCCCAGCCGGACGTGAATCTCTCAGAGCACCGTGAAAAATCTCAGTGTGAGCCTAGTCCAAACTATTCTTCAACCCACGAAGGGAGACTGGAGGTCGATGGCGCCGATCAATGTCACACAGAGTCGCCTGTTGGGAAAGTCTCACGCGCCGAACAGGAACTCATGGATCTCGAAACATTGTGCGCAATGCCTACTCCTGATCAGGGAACGCCTCCATCTGGAGCTGCAGATAATTCCCGTCAAGGAGTCGTTTGGCAAAGCTACCTCGGTGATCTTCTGGGTTACGATCCATCATGGAAAGCACTCTCAAAGGGTGTTGCCAAAGAGAAAGAAGACGAGTCAGCAGTCTTAGCGAAGAGGAAATTTGACATGATTATCTGACGGGTAAATAGACTTGGGTCATTGTATTAGCTATTCAAGGCATGATATTGATATAGGCAAACGACAGAAACAATGAATCAACGATAGGCATCTATCTCCCGCTGCATGGGTTGTACAGATCTCACTACTGCGCATCTCCTTCATACGCCTGTCCTCACCGTCGTCACTCATCTCGAACTCCTTCTCGTCAGCGGGTTGCCTTCTGATGTTCCTTCTCAGCCTTCCTGATCTGCTTGTCAGTATCCCGCTTTGCTTTCGCCTTGCTTACAACCTTCTTCAACTGATCAGCCTTGCTCAAGGCCGACTTCATGGTAGCACCAGCCTTAGACTTTGCCGAGGCAGCAAGCTCTGCGGAGGAGCGCTTCTTCTTCGCGGCCGCGTCCTCCTGCTCCCAGGTGGTCATCTTATCAGGTGGGAGAATGGTGTCGAATGTCATGGTAGGGATACGTCTAGCTGTTGGGAGATCGGAGCTGTTAGAAGAAGACATGTTAGTCGTTACACGAGTGTTGGTAATAGTGATGGTGATTTGTCGGTGGATCGAATATGTGCGTACGGGAATGACTGTGATGAGATAGAGGTCAGGTAGGCAGAGAGCGTTAACGTTCTTGTAGTCGGTAGTCCCAGTCCGTAAGTCTATAGTGCCTGTTATACCGTAAGAGAACAGTGCTGTGTTGAGTCTTAAGTATATAGTGAGACTAATGTTAGAATGCATTGTGGGTTGACGTGGACCAACATATATACTGAAGGCTAATAATGCACAAGACAATCTCACCAGTGGTTGTGTTATTTGGAACATTGCGTTGTCTTGCTTGCTCAAGAATATGTATCTGCCTTGTCCATGATGCATGGAAGATACAAGAAGCGAGTGGATACGATCTCAGGCTTCCTATGCCGTGTAGCCTCACTGCTAACTGTGCTGGGAAGCCATCATGCACACTGTTCAGCCTATGCTGTACTCATTCAGCAGCCCGGAAAGCATCAGTCCTCCGTAGTGCCGGTTTGCAATATAGCCATTGGAGTCTGCGCCGTTACGAGACGATTTTTGTGGAGATGCGCGAAACCACAAGTCATTCAGAAGCGTACGCAAATGACTTATTCGCAACGTCATTCCTCCAGTATCTCGACCGCGGGCGCATCCCACCATCTCCTGTGTAGGCGCAAGTCCCTAATTCCTCGCCCACTCGTTCTCAACACTAGGCTGCAGATCGCTGCCAACATGTCCCGGCAAGGCGCCGTCAAGGCGACGATTGCCCTCTTCGATCGCACGTACGTTATCCCGGCCGTCTTCGGTGGCCTCTTCAGTCTCCTCCTCGATGCGGTCGGAATAGCGGTTGCTGCTGTAACCGGGAATGAAGTCGATGGCACGTCTCGGTTCAGCGTCGCCGTGTCGCTCGTCAGCGATCATGCGGGAGATGCGTTCAGGTGCAATGCGATGTAGCCATGACTCTTTCTGCGTAGGGATGGCGATGATGGCGAACTAGGAGAAGATGTCAGTGTCGGCTCCCCGCAGCGCTGCAGACACCACTACTAACCTGCCAGATGAAGACCATGCCGACAACGACCATGAGAATGCCGGCGATGACCTGCTCTTCAGCCTTCCAGGCTCTCAGGCATCCGTTCATTCTGCCATGATATGTAACTTCGCATGCGTCTGCTTCGTGTGTCTTGTCTGGAAACGGCCATGCCATATCGCGCGAATTCACGAAGCCGCAGCATTCAAAGGCATCCTGAATCTGGCGGATGGCACTCGCATCCTTCTTCTTGAACAGCGTCTGCCAGCGCTCGTGCAACCCGCAATCTAGGCCAGAAGGCGGCGCAGCATGCGTGCCCGCAAGGGTAATGACGACGGTGGAGTAGATGAAGATGAGCGTGTTTGCGATGATGACAAGCGGCGGGCGCTGAATCTCGCCACGGCTCAAGTGCTGGCGACGTTCCTGTCGACGCGTAAAGTCATAGCCGCATTCCAGCAGGAGGCCTGAGACGATGGGTAGAGCCGTAGTGAAGCCGGTCAACGTGTCGGAGACGGGCACAGAACGAGCGTTCGCGCGGGAGGCAGCGTAGCTAGTGGAGAACTGTTAGCGCGGGCCTAGCATCGTCGGTTAACATGGTGTTTATTACCCTGCGAGTGCCGTCGCAATTACAAGATACTAGACATTGTTAATCGGCGCACGTGCAAGGCTGGCATCGCGATGTGGGACTTACTAGCACACTGAGGCAGGTCACGACCTGCTTCCTAGTGTACGTCATGCCGTTGGTGTTTACGTTTACCACGTCGTTTCGGTAGATTCAAGAGCGTCAGCGTAGGAAAGTAAAGATGAGGGACTTCGTCGTTAACCAGAAAGTGAAAGTGGCCAACAAGTGGGATGAGGAGCTCTGGGCTGTATAGCTGTAGCTTCTCCGCATCCCAAATAGGCGGTTGGGTAAGACCGACCCTACAAGGGTCTAAAGTCCTTTCTCCATAGATTTGAGCGCAGAGTGCGATGGCTGATTGCTTGTCGCGAATCTTCCCTATTGAATCTCTACTGAAACGTGCAAAAGCCAGCACATGCTCTCATCGGTGAGGAGCTGGCCAGGAAAGTAGCGTCCGCGGCGTACATGTAAGCTGCCCAGACAGCGACAGCGACAGCGACATGTCAAGGCTCTTCTTACCCGGTGACGTAGGAAAGGACATGCACGTTCAATCTGCGATTTGCTGCATCAGGCGGGCTACACAGCAGGGCGTATCACCCCGAGCCATGTGTAACAGCAGTGAATGGTGGTGTGAAGGAACTGGGGACGGGAAGGGGTGTGTGGCATGTGATTGGACTAGGCGCTAGCGTTACCGTTGGCGGCTTCTGCGCCGGTTGATGTGAGTTCTCGATCTCTCGATCCAAAACTTTTCCATCGCGACGTCATTCCTGTTTAACAATCGCACAATGCAGCCGCGGGGTAAAATTGAACGCTTTCCAAAGCATCCAAAAGCATCAAGCAGCTTCGACTGACAACCTCACTCAGAGTCAGCGCGTCGTCAGCTCGTGTGACAGCGGGAAGGCGGCTTGCCAGTGTGTTGTCTCGAAAACAAACGCGTTTGTCCACACGATCACCGTCACCAGTATGCTAATATCATTGGGCCCCATTGCCTAGTGCCCTTCCCGTCCTGCAGATACGGGGATCTGCTGTTTATATACGCGACTAATAATTTGGTGAACCAGCCTTATTACACATTGCCGCCATCTCGCTGCTTTCCTTCGTTTTCCCAGTCTTCATCCCTGATTCCAGCCTCATCGTGTAAGACTCGTTTCGCGTGTCACACGTACTCACTGTTCGACATGCTGCTGTTTTCACCGCCACGATGCGACGCTCTTCTCAATCACGGATCAGCAAAACAAACGGGTTCAATGTTTAGGCGCTTCTCAGTTCCGCTTTGGCCTTCTACCCCAACTGCCTCCATTCCTCTCTCACCACGCGCACCCAAGCAGAAGACTGTCCGTCCCTCACCACCGCCACGGAAAGGACACCAAATGCCAAAAGAAAAGTCTACCACCGACATGTCACACCAGCCCGGCACCCCACGATCGTCTGCCTTTTCACCTACGCTCGGAAGCATTCCAGAAGTCTTCGAATACGAAGCTCTCGACGCGAAATTCGGTCCAGTCTCACTAAACGACGCGCCAGAGACACCAGAGGTTTTCTTACCCGAGGCGTCGAGCATGTGCCCACCCACGCTTACCCGAGCGTCATCCTGGCCGGCAATCATCCAGTCGCCTTCTCGGAGAGTCGCATCGCCTTTCGCGGTATCAAAGGCACTGCGTAGCATTCTTGAAGCCGATCGGGCACGACGAAGGCGAATTATGAAAGCTTACCTGAAAGCTATTGTTTTCCTCAAGTACTTGTGGCGCGCTAACGAGCGTTACGGCAACGTCATGGTTACGACTGGCATGTATATGCAACGATAAGCGCGGTATGGAAAAGTTGGACCTAATTGGAGTTTTGGCATGGGAATGGCGCAACTGACACGACATCAATGTATTATGATTATGGATTTATGGTTTATGAGGACGCGATTGCATGGCCTGGACGGATGGATAGCCGCTGGCGTTTGCATATGGACGGCGTTCAATACCTGGGTGAGCGTTGCTATTACTGTTACTCTAATCTCGACTGGTATTAGCCAGTCTTTTGACATTTTGGTCAAGCAACTGTTGGTACACAATAATGTACTGTATTCAATGGAGAATTTGGAAAGAGTTTAGATATCGTGTGTTTCGTCTTCTTCGCGTTGCCTAGTGCCTTCAACTTGATCTATAACAACAGGGCCGATTCGCGAAGATCAGGAGGCCAGGGTCGGATTTCCCCACAACATTTCCTCCACATTCCGGAACCGGACTTAGATTTGGACCGCGCATCTGAGGTATGTCAGTGACCCCTCTCAATTTCATATGTATATATATCAATAGTAGATAACAATCATTTGTGTCGACTTATATGACTAGAACCAGCAAACCGGACGATGCATATACTCGGTCTCGTAAACGGCACACCGTCTGGAAACTCGGAGATCCTACTCAAAGCTGCATTGACAGCAGCTACCGAGTCTGACTCTACCATCACAACGTCATGGATACATGTTCCTTCCATCTCCATACCGACAAATCCAGCACCTCTGGATAGCCCTGTTGGCTTCGACCTTGCTTCAAAGGTCAATACCGCCTCTAATAATGCGCCTGACGATCGAGCTGCTGTCCGCGAAGCTATCCTGGACGCTGATGCAATCATTGTTTCTACACCTACATACAGCCACCAGCCCCCAGGCACATTGAAGCTCCTTATGGACCGAATCGGTGGGCCGTCCCTTGACGTCACGTTTGGCAAAACATTCAACCCCAGCAAACTTGACCCACGACTAACAAAGCCGCGAGTATTGGGCTTTATCGCAGTGGGAGGATCTTTAACACCAGATCAGTTCACCATGGCTCTGCCCACTCTCCATTTGCTGTTTTATGGTCTGCATGCCAAGATTGTAGATCAATTCATCGGCCAAGACTTGGGATTATCCGGAGCAGTGTGTTTACACGATGATCTTATCGCTCGGGCCAGGCGCATGGGTCAGAATCTCGCAAGTGAATTGGGCAGACCGTACGACGAAGCAAGATATCTGGGCGACGAAGAAGTAGGCGCATGTCCGCATTGCCATCTCTCCAAGATCGAATTCTTGCCGGAGCATGGCAAGAATGCGATCGGGTGCACGACCTGTGGTACCAGAGGCGAATTGACTGTTAGCCAGGACGGTGGTATACTCCCCGTGTGGGAGAAAGACTCGAAATGGAGTTGTCTGACTTGGGCAAGCAAGCTGCAGCATTCGTACGATATCGTTAGTTGGGCCAAGAAGTATGAGGCGAGGAAACCTGAAATCACAAAGGGCCAGGAAGAGTGGAAGAAGGTTGTTGTTTCACAAGTGACTCTGCCTAGTCAGCAGAGGGCAGTCCTTTGATAGACCGAAGGCGTGATGAATTGATAAAATACTGTTGTGTGCTTTGTGCCAAGTCGTACTATTCACTCACTTTACAGATACGTGGTCGGTTCACGACAACGATCCAGTTCACAGATGGTATAAAGTGCTGAAATATCCTATAAAGATCTTTCGAACACGCTCGAAGCGAGTTCGAGAATTGTCTGGAAGGAATTCGATGCCTTACTGATTGCAAAGGTGAAAGTGCAGGCAACCACTTTCTAGAGCGCTTTCTGGGCATTCAGCAATTTATCACACATTCACTTGTTGTGCACTCAACTACAGCCACCCAGGATGAACTGCTTGGGCCTTCGTAGCACTTTGCAGCCCTCGTCCATGGCTTCGTTTGAGTGCGACGACGAGCCGCTACCTGCCAGTCGTCTGGCTTCAACAGCGACTAAGTACACTCTTGAATCACCGACTGGTACCCGTCCAACATCGGGATGTACCCAGTACACAGATGACTCATCGAAATCTTCAGCCTTCAGCCGAGCAAGGTCGACGTCTGTTTCTACAACCGAAACGTCCATCGCCTCGTCCCCTCCCAGAAACAGTAGACGCAAAGATTCCTTCATCGCAACACAACTAATTCCTTTGTTCAACAACGGCATGCCAATTCAACTACCCCAACGCCGTCTGTCTAGGAAACAAAGTGTTAAGGGTCGGCCTAAACGACCTACTGTGAACATAAATGTGGGTAGTTCGCATTCTACTCTAGAGCCACAGCTTAGCAGAGAAGGTGTTGGGATAAGACCTGTGGTAACTGAGACACCGCTAACGCCAGTAACACCAGCGGGGAGTATTGGAAAACTAGATGGTAATAGCACCGCTTGCGAGGTTGAACTTAGTAGTGATTGTCAGAAGAAAGCGGAAGCGAGTATTTGGTATGTGCCTAGGCACTGATGGAGAAGGTATAGCTTTCCGCTATTTGTAGACAAAGCCACGCGCACAGCTAAGTAATAGTATTTAAGGGACAGTAAGATGTCTTTACATCTGCTGTAACTCTGCCAATCTCTCTTTCCAGAACTGTAATCTGGCCATATCAACCACCCCACTGTCTCCGCTCCCATTATTTCTTATTCTTTCCGCCCAAACATCTCCAGCAGCCATCTTTTGCTCACCGGCCTCACACATCCTCTCTAGCTCCCCATCCGCGATCGAAAACCATAACGCAGCGGCGGGTAGATGCATCGCGGTGTTCTTGCCCAGCCGTGTGTTGGGACTATGTTCCAGTGCCATGGACAAAGTTATACGAGAGAGATTGATGTAACCGGCGAGTGATGGTAGAACCTGGGCGTCAGGATTCCGTGCGATGACCGCGATCAGCTTATTTATGTCTTTCCATTTAGCCGCCGCAACCTCTGGTGTTGTTGGATTACAATGGCTGTGAGTCCACAGCTCAGGTCCTACTTTCCAGTTACTCACCATGTTGTAAACGAGAAAGCAGTGAGTAACGTTCAATCTGACATACCTTGAAACCATTCTGTGATGTTCCAACCTAACATTGGTAGCTCACTCCATAATTGTTTTCCTTCTACGATGATTGGCGCACCGGATGGTATCTCGTGCATGACGCCTCCGCCTTCGTCCCATACCTTGGGTTCGGGGCCTTCGTTGATGGCATCGGGTTGTTTGGCTAGTTCGACGAGGTAGGATACAAGGAGATCTAGTGAGTCGAGACTGGTGTTTCGTCCAGCGGCGAAGAGGAAGAGGCCTATCAGGCATGACAATCCGTGGGTTATGTCGTGTTCAGACTGGATCAGGTTTGCCGTCGCGGAAGCAGACGCTGTCGGTGAGGTCTGAGAAGAGAGAACCTGGTCAAGAATGACGATGAGTTGCGTAGATACGTTGTCAGGCGGGAAATTGGCAAGTTGGTCTGCATGACAGGCTTTTGCCCAGTCGGTCATTAGGGAGGGCGTTGTCATGTTAGTCCCTGGTATCTCGCTGAAGCGAGAGAGAGAGTGAAGTTCTCGAGCTGGACCTTAAAGGTTTGAAGATTTCGCTTTTCAGTAGCACACTGAAATAGCAGACATCGCTTCAAGGTGTCCGTGGCATCCGTTTCAGCCCTTCCTACGCCCTCGACCCTCCACCGCAGAACCTGAGTGGCTGTCTACGCACACTAATGATACGTTCGCTCTGTTACAAAACAAGAATTAACATTAGAGTATGCATGTGTTCCGTCTTTTCTCGATTTACTAAGATCGGGTGTATGTAGTCATAACATCGTCCCTTTGCCTACGTGCAGCCCGTATTCGCGTGACGTCATCCAAGGGCGCACACTCTGGCGCTATAGAAATCGCCATAGCCAAGCACCACAAGGTACAAATTCTGAGTATATTATGCTTTGCAGCAGAACTTTTCATGAGCTTGTCTTAGTAGAAGGCCGTATAGCCGAGGAAAGTGGTCGGTTTCTTGCCTTGCGTAATGCATTATCACCGATTGGCTAGCGCCGCTATTTCCGAGTGCTTGGCTGGCCGAACATTCGACGCGTCGGGCGTCTCCAGCTTTCACTGTCGTCTACCCCGCAAACCATCGAGCTTTATTGGGCGATGCGCCTTGTCGCAACGCAAGCGTGCTGTAAAACCACTATACCCAACTTCCTACATCCAGAAGAAGGAGTTGATAGCATCTGGCGCTACTCGTCATAGAAGTTTCCCAGTCGCGTTACATCTTAGACCTCCGCCTTCGATTCTTATACAGCCGAGGATGAGCTGCTCAGAGGGGTATACCGAATGGCTACATGCTAGCGCGGCTGGTGCTAACACTTGCATCTGCTATCCGGAAATCTACAAGTCCCTTCCTTTTTGTAGCTAACGTCCAATGAATCCTTTTCTCATACATCACTCCTCATGATGCGTGCCTTTGCACGAGCCGTCTCGCGCCACCAGTACAGTGCTCGTCGGCAGTCGATCAACCCAAGACAGCAGAGGAATTTCGCCTCAGTGAATGGGCCAAATGTCAAGAACTTGACCGTCATTGACCATCACTACGAGTGAGTAGCTTCCGATCTATTAGGACGCCTCTAGCTGACTCCGTTTTAGTGCAATTGTTGTTGGAGCAGGCGGTGCGGGCCTTCGGGCTGCCGTAGGACTCACGGAAGCTGGACTCAAGACTGCATGCGTATCGAAACTCTTTCCTACCCGATCGCACACAGTCGCAGCACAGGGTGGAATAAATGCCGCGCTCGGCAACATGACAGAAGACGACTGGCGCTGGCACATGTACGATACAATAAAGGGTGAGGTAGAGGTATACCAAAGGCATGGGAAATTTATACTGATTCTGTTGCCAGGGTCGGACTGGCTCGGTGACCAGGACGCTATCCACTATATGACGCGCGAAGCCGTCCCAGCAGTTGTTGAACTCGAGAACTATGGCATGCCGTTTAGTCGGACGAACGAAGGAACGATATATCAGCGAGCATTAGGTGGACAGTCATTGAAGTATGGCAAAGGTGGACAGGCCTATAGAACGGCATGTGCAGCAGATCGCACTGGGCATGCAATGCTCCATACACTCTATGGGCAGAGTCTGAAAGAAGGCGTGCAGTTCTTCATTGAATGGTTTGCACTGGACTTGATGATGAGCGAGGGCAAGTGCGTGGGCATAACGGCTATGAACATGGAGGACGGAACGACGCATAGGATATTCGCCAAAAATACGGTACTGGCAACGGGAGGATACGGAAGAGCATACTTTAGTGCGACAAGCGCGCATACAAGCACGGGCGATGGCAGTGCGATGGTCTCGAGAGCAGGGCTACCGCTACAAGACATGGAGTTTGTGCAGTTCCACCCTTCCGGCATCTACGGCGCAGGCGTACGTACACAACACCGACGATAGCATGACTTATCTCGACTGACAACGAGTCTAGGTCCTGATCACAGAAGGCGCTCGTGGCGAAGGCGGCTATCTTCTCAACAGCGAAGGCGAACGCTTCATGGAACGATATGCTCCTACTGCGAAAGATCTCGCGTCGCGTGATGTCGTCTCACGCTCTATGAACCTTGAGATCCTAGAAGGCCGCGGCTGTGGACCAAATAAGGACCACATACATCTTCAACTATCGCATCTACCAAAGGATGTCATCATGGAAAGACTGCCTGGAATCGCCGAAACAGCCGGTATCTTTGCTGGCATCGATATAACAAGAGAGCCGATACCCGTATTACCAACAGTACATTACTGTATGGGCGGCATCCCAACCAACTACCATGGACAGGTACTAGATGTTGATGCGAAGAGTGGTAAAGAAGATGTTGTTGAAGGGTTGTATGCAGCTGGCGAGGCTGCTTGTGTAAGCGTACATGGCGCGAACCGATTAGGAGCAAATTCCTTGCTTGATATCGTGGTTTTTGTAAGTACTCAGAACATATTCGACCAGTCATATCTGCTGACACTCCCCTAGGGTCGAGCGACAGCACTACACATCTCTGCCAATCACTCGCCATCAGAAGCACATCACCCAGCTCCTGACAATATCGGCCTCGATTCTATCAGCGAGATCAACACTTTCCTAGAGTCCAACGGCAGCACACCAACATCCAGTCTACGGAACTCCATGCAAAGCACCATGCAATCTACAACTGCTGTGTTTCGCACTCATGACTCCTTGTCCAAAGGCAACACCCAACTCGGTGACATCGAGACCAAGTACACCACCGACCTACGCATCACAGATCGGTCCTTGATCTGGAACTCCGACCTCATTGAGACACTCGAACTGCGGAATCTTCTTACCAATGCAAGTCAGACGAGCAAGGCGGCATTGACAAGAACGGAGAGTAGAGGCGCGCACGCAAGAGACGACTTTAAAGAGAGAGACGATGGGGAGTGGATGAAACATAGTCTTACGTGGCAGAGTAATGTAGGAAAGGAGGTCAGGTTCGGAACGAGGGCGGTGAATATGAACACGTTGGATGAGCAGGAGGCGGCGAGCGTGCCGCCTATGAAGAGATCGTACTAAGATGCTCACCACCGCCGTGTTCGGCAGCAACCTTTTTTAAGCGGACGCGGCGCCTCTTTCTCACCTTCAGCGTATCGTCTTCCTATGGCACGGTCAATTGTGACAGTGACGAACATGCACAAGACATAGAGTGCAGATATCAATGTTGAGCTGGGACGATAAATGAGGCAAAAAACTAAACCAATGAGGAAATCATCGTCTCCATACAAGTTCACCTTCACCATGGATTGACTCAAGTAGCCATCATTGCACGATCACTTCCAATAATGCTTGGCACTTGGATCTTATGTCGCGCGTCGCTTCTTGCTTTGCAATACCTACAGTTACCCACTCACCCCATCATCTACTGCTCCAAACGTTTCGCAGCTGATAGTCGGGTTTGATCATCATGGATGTCTCACCGCCACCTGGTCTTCACGACAGGCACTACGACCTCACATTGGACGTCATCAAGCAGCACGGACTAGACCTCGGCGCCAAATGTGCTGCGGTTAACACGACGTAAGTACGATGATGAGGAAAATACAAGGCGAACACTAAGTCGTTTGTAGTGATCCAGCCATTCCCCCTTACTACTACATCAAGAACTGCATTCTCGTAGCCCGCGCTCAAGCAGACTGGGACGTCGGCGACATCTACCGGCTCAACGCAGAAAAAAAGTACGACAGCAGTTTCCGCGACGCGATATCGAGGCCGGACGACGACTCACTAAAGGTCTTGCGTGAATTGCGCGGCGAGCTCGACGACCTCTATGCATCTCGAGAGGCTTCAGTGTCGGCTTCTGAAACAGTTGCCCCGCCGCTTCTTCTAGGCTGGATACCCTATCTGGATTCTAGCTCTGGTAGGTGCTACTATTATAATCTTCTCACACTGGCTACGCAGTGGGAGTTTCCGTATAGCCTGGGTATGGTCCGTGGGACAGACAGGGAGCTTGGAGAACAGGTCATGGTGGGCAGATTTGGTGATAAGGTTAAGGTCGAGGATGAGATGGATAACGAAGATGAGGATGAGGACGGAGACGTAGATGAAGATTACGACGAAGGGGATGACGACTATGACGAAGACGACGATACTGAGGCTTTTACTCAGCCTGTCCAGCCTACATGCGATCACGAGACTTTCGCCCAGGACCAGTTCTCGAGCCTGGCCGTTGATCTGGATCTACTCACAGGTAAGTCATCTTTTCCTTCGTCTTCCGCATGAGACTTGCATGAGCTTCGGACTCGAACGAGCCAGTGATTCACCAATGGTAACGTATTCTACTTGCAGGGGTTCAACAAGTCAATTGGTACGGACGAGTCAGCTTTGGCTTGTGAAGACATGCTAGGTGTATCTGGGCATGGAGGATGACAAAGGTGCATGGAGCCTTGCTCGATGTGGCTTTTAGTCTTTGCGTTCAGGCCTGGCGAGTTCTGTCTACTCTATCTTGGAAGCTTCAATTGAATCGTTCATTGACTGTTCAGGCCCTGACTGATCATTGGCATATACCCATTTCTTTCATTCTGTTATCCGCGATACCAAAGCGCCCGGCAGGTATCCGATATGATTGCTAATAAGGACATGACCGAAACGAAAGCATCGTACACCCCCATACTCCTTGAATATCCTTTAGCGTCTAGAAAACCCTTTGTACACTACGAATTGTGATCGTACCCCTCACATTCAAGGCCCGTCATCCCAAACCATCTAATCATCCCAGCATACCTTCAGCGCTACACATCGAGTTAGCAAATGTCATATCAAACAAGTACAAACAGAGTACTCGAGTTCAAGAGAAAAAGAACTTACCACAAGGGAACGGAAAGTACATATCCTGATTCTCCGTCAAATAAGCATGATAGCTATACTTCTCCTCGCCCGGACCCATCTTCTTCTGCACCTTGTGAATCTTGCCCTGCGGGCCCGGCGCCGGCCTCAGATTCTTCAGTCGCGCAACTTCTCGCAGCATCGTCGTAAGCGTGATGCGCGTCATCGGCAGTCCGAGACACTGGTGCGGTCCGTATCCGAGGTGAATGTAGGAATCCAGCGGGCGGGTGATGTCGACTTCATCGGGGTTAGGGAAGATGGTAGAGTCGTGAGAGGCGGTGCGCAGGTTAACAAAGACGGCGTCGCCGGGTTTGAGATCTGTCGTCTTTCCAGCCTCGGTGATGGAGGTTGGTTTGGCAACGGCGCGGATGACACCCGTTTCGCCGTTCAACCTTCCGCCCTCCATGGTATAGTGCATCAACTTCTCAAACGACTCCTCGCTGTCATCTTGAGCCAACCTAGAGATCTCGGCCCAATGTTTCTTGCCGGCGCCGAGGAGGTAGTATTCGATTGTCTGAGCGAAGAGTTGGCCCTGGTTTGATACCATGCCTCCCGCCGTGCCGAGGATATGGCCCCAAGTCAAGGTCTCCGGCGACATACCACTCTCCAACAACCGCTTAATCATATGCTTGCCATAGCTCTTCAGCACGGATTCCTGCGGCCAGATGGTGGCCATGATACTGCTCAAGAAGCCCGAACTTGCAATCGCCTTGACATTCTTCTCGACGATGTTACCAAGTAGCTGCGTTGCATTTCTTGCTTTGACATGCAAGGGGAAAGAAGAAGCAGGGTCTGCGTCGAAGAAGATGAGCGCAAAGACCGAAGACATGATGAGGTAGAGTTCCGCCTCCGTGAAGATACCGTGGGGTTGTGCGGCGGTCTTCAAAGGCAGCATGAAGAGCTCGGAACAGAAGTGGACATGCGCAAGGTTTCCGACGGAGCGTATGATGTCGACTTGGTTGAAATCAGCGATTTTGGCGCTCTTTTCCTTCAACAGTTCTCTTGTCTTGAGAGTGTAGTAGTTCCGTACTTCCTTGTCCCATTCAGAGATGTAGAGTGCTTTGCTGACCAATTGACGAGAGGCAGTGTTCTTGGGTCCGTCGCCGGCAAGCATGAAGTCGGCGGATGCAGGGCCCATGATGTATTCCATGGCCTTGCCCCAGACGACTTTGAAGGTTGTTTGGTCCTTCATGATGTCGGTGGCCAGCTTGTACTCTTTGACAAACTGAGGGTGTGGTGTCGCTACTGGCTTACTGAAGTCGTACAGATTGTCTTTCTTCAAGTCTTTCAGAGCGGTCTGCATGGCGGACGGGATAGTCAGTGGGTAGTGGGCGTAGATGCTGTTGTACTTGAAGTGCTGTGGGAAAGCGCGCAGAAAGAGCTTGTAGAACACGCATCCGTTGTCGACGCCGAGATCGCTTTCAGCCTGACGGTAGCCCCAGTTGGTCAAGGTGCGTGGGTTGTAGTCGTGTGTGTAGAATCTGTCGCCACGGACCAGCGCAACGGCGTCCGACAAAACAGCACGGGAGACGGTGTACGAAGGGCAGAGACCCGAACCAGGAGCCATGGGCTTCTTTGCGTCCTCGACGACGATACCGGGGTAGATCTCAACCTTGTCGGGGTGATCGTAGAGGTGCTTGAGTTGCTCTTGCACATATTTGTCTGACGTGATGTCTTCGAAAGTGTTATGTGGCTCTAGCTTGAAGTACTTTCGGAACTCGTTGAGCGATCCCAGATTCCATGTACGTGCTTGTTCGATACCCAGGACTTCAATAGCACGGAAGACGGCAGGAACCCTATTCGGTCCAAAGGAGTTGGCACAGTCTTCGATGCTCGATGTCAAGATGTCTACCAGACCTTGGTCGGGTAGTGTGCCGTTGTCACTTCGCTCCAGACCAGCGAACTTGCGCTTCGACGGATCAGGATCAGTCTTCTTGTAGACTTCATTCAACCGGCCAAGGAACTCATATTTGCCGACGGTCTTGGGGTCGCGACCTTCACCGAAGAGGCCGTCCCACATCTCCTGCGTCCACTTCTCGTCACGATCAGAGACTGTAGAGTGCCATCGGTATACGAGGTTGAACTCAGCAGAGACTTGGTTGCCAATGCCCATGGGTAGATCCTTCACTTCCGCGCGAGGGTTCAGCTGCCAGTTGCTGTCAGTCCGGTTGAGATCGAGAATGGTGCGGACGTAGTCGATCAAGATGATGTTGACGTAAAGGCCGCAAGTAATGAGACGACCAGTCTGGAACAGGTCATTGTCGTACTTCTTCCATGCCGCATCATACTTTTCCTTTGTCTTCTTGTCGACTTCGACGTCACCAGTAGACTTTGGTACTTCATTCGAAGGCTTCGTAAAACGTCCTTGCTCGTTGATAGCCGCTAGGTTCTCGACCGTGTAGTTGTGGAAACGGTTGAACATGATCAACATAGCACCAACGCCAGGAGGGAAGAACAACAGTCTTGCTTCCGAGAAGCAGTCAGGCTTGATCTTTCCATCGCGTCCAGTTCTCATCATGTCCTGTTCGGCCTGGTTACTGCCGTACAATGGTGATAGATCGAGGTATGAAGATGTCATCGAGATCGAGTAATCCTCGTGACTTGTGCGGAAGCAGTCGTGGATGATGATGGATGCCAGATAGAACAGCATACTTGAAATACGGTTTGGGTGCAGTTCAGCATGTTTCCTGGTCATGATACTGTCGAACACAACACCAGGATCTGGGCGGGCAGGAGTCTGCATCGTGTCTGGCTTGACAGTCCTGGCGTACGGTGTTCCTGCTGCGCCAACTTGCGGGTTTACTAGACTGTTATTCGATCCATCCGCGGCACGGTACTGGAACTTTGACCCAAGATATGACTGCGGCGGGTGCTGTAAGTCGCCCCATAGCTGGGTCAGAAACTGACCCGTCACTGCCTCTCTTGTCTTTGACCCGTCAGGCAACGCGGCAGCGGTCCGGATAAGGCCTTCCATGAGGTATGTCTTGTCATCGGTATATCCACCAAGCATCTTTTCTTTCTGAATTTCCATCAAGCTCTGGATGTTCTCGATGCCAAGGTGAGACATGTCTCGAAGACCGCCTTCAACCTTCTTGTAGAGACTAGCCTTCTCTTCTGCCGCAATCTTGGAGCCATCACCAGTTTGGTCGGGAAGTGGAGCTGCAGCGGCGCCAATCAGGGCTGCGGCTGCTCTGAAAGATCCACCAATGGCGTTTCTCATAGTGCTGAGTTCGGATGGGTCAGCTGGTCTGGGAGGCTCAGCTCCTGTGCGGGTATCAACATGGGAATCCCATGCCGCTTTCGCCTCTGCAGCTAGACCGGACATGTTGATGGATGTGCTGGATGTTTGCGTTAGTGACATTCCTAGGTCTGGGTCTGTTCCTCCGCTCGAAACAAGACGACGATCCTTTTGGTGGGTCATATCTCAGGTTTCTTTGCTCGAGGATACGTGGATGACTGGCGGATTGCATGGAAACGACGATAACGCCGAGGAGAGATATTGTGATAGGGTCGTAGGAAGAGACGTGATGCAATGGTACTTACATGGAATTGAATCTCTTCTGTGTGGGGCTTCCTTCCACTACCGGTACAGTCAGTCGTACGTGATTTCCGCTTTCAGACTTTTGCAGTCAGGATCCAGATACCACGCGACCTCACAAGCTCCGAGAAACCGCGATGATAGACAAGATATATAGCACGCGAGCTTGCGATGTCTAGTCTTGTAAGTATATGTAGGTAAGCCACCAAAAAAAAGCAGCGAGGGGTATATGTGCAACAACGATCGAACGCTAAAGAAGATCCAAGTTGTTTACACGGCAAGTAGGGAGGCTTGAGACAATGTGTTTGTCGCACAATCGGTCAGCCTCAGTCTTCTTATACCCTCCACATCATTATTCTGATAGGATGCATTCGTAATTGCGGCTGGAGGACAGTTTACGGCGATGCAATCCCTCTAGTTCTCACCGGCACCGGGAACGTCAACAGCTGAGAGGTCCCTTCCCCATTCCAAGCCGTGGCCCGCTGTACTAGATGCAGTAAATGGCCAATTGAAATGCATGCAATTAGCCCATTCGGCAGGTGAAGTTGAGCTAGGCTAGGCTGATCGCGAACGGCTGGGCTGAGTCGTTTGGCTGACCGCCGATATGCCTGCTGGTAGGCAGAAATCCGAGGTGTGCTGCAAGAATTAGCGGGCCCGCAGGTGTCGTCTCAGCCTCGGTCGCAGCCTTTTTGCAGGCAGCGGCCCTCGATGCATCTTGCTTCAGCCTCACTGGATCAAAACTGTCGGTGAGCTTCTTTTTCTGACATGGTGGGTAGGTGGTGAGAGGACAGGCCATCCGGCTGCAGACTTGGAGTAATTGCAATCGGATCGTCACTAGATGATGGCAAATGGAAGAAAAACCGAAGGAGAGAGGACAGGTGGGTGTTGTCCTTCCCACGCTTATGCAGGGTCTAAGTCGGTGTTCCCCGGGGCGATATGGGAGTGGCCGCTGCGGGCAGATGCAATAAGCCTCAAATCGAAAAAGCAAAGATGGAGCTACGTATGATGGATAGTGGTACAGAAGGCTACAGCCAAGCACATTTCCATCGTCACGAGGTTTGTCAAGTCGGACTTGGGATGTACAAAGGATGTTGATGAGCAACATGACCTGGGCATCCGTGAACGCAGTCACATACACACACATACGCATTGGTCACCACGACGCTTTTCAGCATACGGACGATGGGATGTATTAGTGTGAGGTTAGTGCCTATAGGCATCAACGCGCTAGATACGGGTACCTGCGGAGGTGCTACCGTTCTGAGCCCGGTGTGACAGCCTTCACGTCCTCATCCTTCGTGTGCGCCTCGCCGTAACCCTGGTTCAATCCCACCGCCATCCGCACACCATCCCTCTTTCATCATTGGCTTGTGCCCACGAACACCAAGCATTCACCAGGCGCCAATCTTGCTGGTAGCCCCACGCCTGTCGCCTGACACCGTCATCCTACCAGGCATCTTCTACCAGATACCAGGCAGAATAGCGTACCTCTTCCTCTTGTATTTATCTCCAAACTCCTTGCGATACCTCTTCTCCTTCTTCCATGCCCAAACACCCATCTGTCCCACAGCCACGATGATGAAGAGAACGGTGCTCAAGCTCCAGTTGACGAGCGCCACGCCAATCCACGCCATTGCCTCGAACATGTAGTTGGGGCAGGTGACTAGATCGAAGCCCAGTCCCTTGGGAATACCGCGCTCAGTGCTGCCAGGGCGGCGCAAGTTCTTGAGCGTCAGATGCGTGCTGTAGTTGCAAACCTCGCCAATGGCAAACAGGGCCACACCAAGGTATGTGAGAAGCGGGTTGGAAGGTCTAGCAGCCGGGCTGTTGGGACCGTAGCTCCAGTATGCCAGGTTCACACCAGAGAGGAGCCAGTAGTAGCCAGAGTTCTTGTAGATGTTCATTATAGGCATTGTGGCCGACGAGAAGCGGTGGACGAAGAGGGTTTCGAACTCGCGCTTAGCAAAGTGAGCGACGCACATGAGGAAGGTGAGCTTCTGGAGCTGCGACGGAGGGGCTGAGGTGCCATAGATGAGGGAGCGGCCGAAGTAGATGAGCGGGTGAATGAGGAGGGGTCCGAGGTACTCGACGATGAAGACGGTGCGCCATGAGATCTGGGGACCTGGGAGACAGTCAGTCGTCTGTTGGTGAAGAGGTAGAGAGTAGCATACCTAGATCCTTGACATCCACAGCACTCTTGTTCCGCAGGCCCGTGTCGTGAACCTTCACGTCTCGCACATTGTTGATTGGCGATCCGTCGCTGCCCTTGGTGACCCTCAATCGGTGGATTGAGAACCTGGAGGCCTTTGCGATTTCTTCGAAGATTTGGGCGGTCGAGGCATCCGCAGAGACGGTGATGGTCTCGGGGAGGTTCTTGATCGGACGGCCTGTGGAGGGGTTAACAAACAAACAAACACCAGGATGCACTCAATCGGACCGAAGCCGACTCAATGGGTCAAGGAACAGGCATACCACGAGGGCGCACGACGAGTGTGAGGTCGGACATTGTTGCGTGCTGCGACAGCGTGTGCTGTGTGTGTGGACATTTAGCAAGATGGTATTCGGAGCGGCAGCCTCGGCCTCCCGTTCAGGCTAGGCTCAAAGGGTTCAGCCACTTCGCCATTAGGGGAAACCATGCGAGTGAGATTGACCGCATGTGTGTAAGATCATGAATCAAAGCCTTCGACGTCAGACGTCCGTCTAGAGCAGGCCATGTGGTCGCCACTATCTATACGTGTTCGGCACATGCATCTCCACACCCGCCTTCATACCCTTCAGCCCAACTGCACCACAACCTGCCATGCAACTTCCGGCCCCATGCACGCGACCATCTCACCAATAACACCCCTAATCGACTTTGAATTCCTCAGCTCGCTGCCGTCCCAAGAGACCAGGTCCTATACGCAGTCAATACAGAGTAAGCGTTTCATATAAGCAGCTTACTGACCTGAGCTTCCGCCATTCTCCCACCAACGCGAATAGGCATAGTGGCCAGGTCGAGTTGCTCTTCAATCTCTTCAGCAGTCATAAGGCCCGGCACCTTGAGCTCAAACAACGACACGCCCTTGCTGACAGCCTTGCCAGCCTCAGCAGCTGTCGGGTAGGGATAATCAGAGTAATCGTCTTGCTCTCCATCGATGCCCATCTCCTTCCTGCGACGCTCCCTAGACATGGAGACATACGGCTTCTTGTCAAGCAGAGCGCGCATTTCACCTTCGAGCGGATGCCACTCGTATGTTTCAGGATCGAGAACATGCTGGGTTTTGTAATCGCCCTTGTACTTCATCTTGACGCAAGAATGAATGTAGTATCCCATATAGTAGTACTGATAGCCGCCCTCAAGAGCCAGCGCGGCTTCTCGTAGCGCACTCAACTTTCCAAACTGCCACTGTTCATAGTCGGAATGGTAGAGCATGTAGACGCCGCTAACGCAGTGGGGTAGCAGATCGAGTATACCCATCGCGATGAGCCGTCCATCAAGCCGGTAGCACTGGTGGTAAGATCCGAGCTGCTGCTCTTTGCCCTCGACGGTCCTGGTAGTCTGCTTCAATGGTGAATCGCACAGAAACCGTTTGAAGCCTGCTTGAGAGATCTCGTGGGGTTTCTCTTTGTGCACGTTCTGTTGGTAGTTCTTGAACAACTCATACTTTTCGAGCGTAAACGCTGCTGGCTCCAGTGTTACCTCAAAGCGGTGTGCGGGCTCGGGCGGTCGTTTGACATTCTCATATTCGGTCTTGTGAATCTCACGAGTGAGATCAAAGGTGTTTTTGAACCGAGCTTTCTCCCTGGCGATGGTCAGCCTAGTAACAACTCTGCCGTATCGCGACGCACTCTTTCGATATTGGGTAGAGCCTGGAAGCTTCTTTCGTATAAGACTCCCCTAGCACATGGTCATTCCAGTGGTTGACGGCTTTTCTTTGATCCTTCGAGGGCTTGAAGGAGGCTACGGGTAGACTAGTCTCGGGTAAGTCTCTAGCAGGATGTTGCTGCAAGCCTGCTTACCGAATCGTGTAATGTGGACAGCAGTGTCGCAGCACATCCGGCTTGTAAAAGATGGTACCAGATCTAGAAGCCACTGTCAGCTGCTATTGTAGGAATAGCGCTGTATGTAATGTGCTATGCATGAGTGGGTCGTACCTTCTCCAACCGCGGTCCACGAGGATTTGGTAGACCTCAACGGTCAAGCTTTTCGACGAGAAGTAGTAACTCGCCCCTAATCAAGTAAGGTCAGTCGGTGCTCTCGGCTCGCAGCCTCATTCCGATTTTCCCCGCTCAAGCTCACCAGACAGCTCATGATTGAGATGGAGATGCACTGTGATGCAATCAATCTCAAGAATCTAGATCTGCATCAAACAACGCCTGCCGACGTGTATACGAGCCGACATAGACGATGCTTGGCAGTGATGCATCGCTTGGGGGCATGGGCAGGGACGGGCAAGATTCCAAGGTTCCATGCGACGCGGGGCTGCACGTGAGGCAGGTAACCTTAACGGAACATCAAATGCAGGCGAGAAAAGCGCCGGCTGCAACACTGACGGCCATTGATGCCCATTGTTCGTGTGAGATGGCTTGACCGCTCTGACAGCGGCATGCAGGCATGACGATCCGTCCATGATCGAATAGGGATGACTATGAAAATCCACGTACGAGAGTTGGCGGTTCTACTGCCATTCGATGCGTCTTTGCAGTACCCGCACGACTCACTACTGTAGCCTGGAAATGACCGTTAGCAAGTCGTTGATAGCCAGGGTCTGAGATGGGAGGTCCGTATTGCTGGGAGCTTGAGAGATAGTTCATGTCCAGCCAGACAGGCACGAGCCGGAACCCAGGGAAATGGTTGGAGCAGAACATACCGAAAGGCGTCACACTGGACTGCATGAGGGCAGCATAAGCGTGGGAGCTGGTGGGGGTAGTGGTCCGAGGCGGATTCGAGCGTCGTCGCGGCGGCGAGCGATGACAGGCGGTAGCAGAATGAATAATAGCTCCTTGTCCACGCCCGGTTGCTACAGATCAGGGCTCTTGGGACTGTCGGGGTCGGTCAGGGCGGTCAGGGCGTGGATGGCAATGATGTTCTGGCGGAGACGGGCGATCGGTCGCGGGGTCAAGACACACAATAGCAATGCAAAGGTTGTTGTATCACAGCGTGCAGGGCGCGCACCAGAGACTCTGATCAGCGTCTACACGGGGGCAATTGCTCGTTTTCTAGTGGGCAATTCGCCGTTTAAATGCCTGTACGTCATCCAGAGGGCAGGCAGCAGAGAGGCTGCAAGCGGCGCGCTGGTCTCGCGTGCCCCGCCGGCTCCCTATGCAGCGCATTGGAGCTGCGAGCTGGGACCGTAGACGACCTGTCTCGTGTGCCGATAGGTGAAGCCAGTGCCTTGTCTGGCTGCCGTTGATTGCAGTTTTGTGCAGCTCTGTGCAGACACCCCGGACAAAGCTCCTCTTGCAGGCGGGCCTTGGCGACAGGCGTGACGCTCCGCGAGCCCTTAGTTTCCACGTAAAAAGTCCCTGACCCGAACCACCTACTAAAACATCCATCCACCATGCCGAACTTCTTTGCTGCTCGCAGGCTCCTTCAACATCCTCAGCCCCGTCATCCGCGGGACTGAGCCTTGCTCAGCCCTTTTGCCTACCACACCTTCACCCTTCACACTTCACACTACCACTTCCCCCGTGAAGCCACACACACACACACACTCCCACAGACCCTCCTGAGCCACACTTTCGCTGTTTGCTCGGCTCCATTCCACTTCACCGCCTGGCTCGCCTCTGCTCTTCCGACCCAGCCTATTGTTCAGGCCTGCTGCCGTCGCGTCGAGCGAGTCGCATACAAGCGGTGCCACGCATATCTCCGCGCTTTCCCTTGTCGATATTCTGACATGGCCGCTACGCAGCAGCTGTCGATGCAGTCGCGCACTGGTCGCGTGAACCAACGTAAGTCTGCTCACGAGACCCCCACAACTCGCATCGAAAAATTGAATCCCTTCCGCGAATCCCCCCAGACTCACCGCTTTAACTTTCGGCTGATTGGCGGCAGGCTATGGGTCCCAAGGCGAGCGGCTAGTCGCCGGTGTTGTCCCGCTTTCCGCCGACAAGTACTACGTCCTCCTCATCCAGTCTACCAAGCGAAACGGCTGGGTGCTCCCAAAAGGCGGCTGGGAGACGGACGAGGCAACGGCCCAAGACGCCGCCAAACGCGAAGCCTGGGAAGAGGCTGGCATAATATGCAAGATCAACTACGACCTTGGCCTCATCCCTGAGAAGCGAAGACCCGACCAGCTCACTTCCCAGGCCCCAAAGGCCTCGTACCACTTCTTCGAGGCGACTGTTGAGAAGCAAGAGGCCCAATGGCCGGAGCAGCACAAGCGGAATCGAAATTGGTTCAGCTATACCCAGGCGCGACAGGCCTTGGCGGAACGGCCCGAGTTGCTCGACGCGCTGGACCGGTGTACCATGCATCGATCATAGATGGTATACGGGCGCCTGTAGGTGCGCAAAGTCGCACACAGCCACCACGAGGAATCCTGGACGCATGTCCCAGGCCCCTAGCAGACGTTCGTGTCTTTTCTTCTTCTTCTAATACTGCATCTATACGGCATCTCAAAAGCGTCGGGGGAAATCATAGACATTTGGCATTGTACTGTCTACTCTACATTTGGCGTTGTGGTCGCTTTTCGAAAGGTAGAACGATGCATTCCCGCTCTTGGGCTACAAGAGCGCCGGACCAGTTTGGTTCGCAAACAATGCAATTTGGCTTTGCCAAGCTACAATCTCCGCTCTATTGGTGCGGTCCTCTTTTCCAGTTCCTGCTCCTGAAGCAATGTTTGATGTTTTCCGTCAACGCTGCCCAGTGCCGATTAACAGTTGGTCACATAACGAGGCCGAGTCTGCCGCTTGCTATCTACGCAGCCATTAGACCTATGCGACTGCATGCAGATCGGAGATGATCGAGTGGTGCAACATCTGGAAAGTATGTTTCAACGACTGCAACGCCTGAACAGACAGAAAGTACCGCCATGAGCACGCTCGCACTACGGACATTGTGTGAAGATGCTTGCATTAGTTTATGAGAAACTCGCTCATCCAATTATGCATACTTTAGTCCTTTCGACATTAGAGGCGACATCATTACAGCAGCACTAAAAACCCCCTTAATCTAACATCAATCATCTGCGAGTTCAGCATCACGCATCATGTTATCCATATCTCATCATATTCCCCTATCCCCTTGCCGTCAAAATGCCGTCCTCCCTGTCTTAACACTCTTCAACACCCCCTCATCAGCCAACCTCTCAATCATATTGTAAAGCACAAAATCACACCCCCGCTTCACCACAAGATTGATCGTCACAGGAACCATTTCCTCATGGAACGTAACATTACTTTGATACGCCACCTGCCCAATCGGCACGGTAAAATCCGCACATCCAAAGATCGGACAGATACCCGCCCCCGTTATCTTCGCTGTTGGCGGCGTAACAGCTAGATACGACGCATCCGGCGAGT